TCGACCAAAGAAATAGTCTAAGCTAAACTAGCTATGCAGGTTGCTGGTACTGTATAGTGCTAGTCTTACTTATTGTCGCGCTCAAACCGTATCGACAGTCTCAAGAAGATCCCAATCATCCCTGGTGTTTTTGCACAGCCAGAGTGTGGGGTGTGGGAGACTGTGTTTGCTGCTGATGCACACCTCTTTGCCGCACACCGGCAAGGACCTGCGATCTGGATTGAACTTGAGCTTGGAAGATAGCACAGAGGTCATTTCAGAGGCCGATGTTGTTGCCATGGAGAGTTGTGGTTGTTGCTAAGCCGCTTTCTCAAATTCCTATGGACTCTCAATAGATTCCTATGTTTGGTCGTGCAAGAGGGACAGGTGAACTTTTTCACAATGTTATGTCGACTTCTACTCTGGACATAAGACAGGCGGTAGAACGACGACTTCCGCCAAGGTGTCTCAGGAAGAGGAACGTTGTACAAGCATCAAACAGTTGTCGGGGTACCTTGCGCATCCCCTTTCTCTGGCAGGCTCTTGGTGAGCTCCGGCGTAAAGGAAAGAAGGCAGTTGTCTCACTTTTGATTGCTTTGAACTTATGTACTTATTTTTGTACAAAAGGCCTAAGCTATTTCGATGATCTTCATATTTGTGATCAGGCAAGAAAGAATCGGATTGCAGTCCGAAACTGTTGAACTTCTCGCGATTGTGGGTGTGGCAAGTGACTCAGTGACCTAACATATCTGCTGCTGCCCCATCAGGAAACTTCGGGCTCCATCACTTTCTGGAACTTTTTGTGCCTTGGGGAAGATAAGCTGTTTGGATGCCTGCTTTGCAAAACCAAACATGAGTTTGTAGCTTGAGTTTGCGCTCTGTCTTTTGTTCCACCACATAATCAGTTTTTTGGATGCGTGAACCCATAGCCTCATGACACATAAACCATATTAAGTATCAGTATCTTTATATATATATGGTCAGTGACTCGACCCTGCTTGCTCCTGCTTTGGGATTTGCTTAGGCATTTGCTGGAACCTGCGCCACTGCCAGTTCGGGACCCAGCACAAGTTGCAAGCCAAGGTGCTTGCCACAGCTGTACAAGCCACTTCCAATGACATAAACTCAAAATGTGAGAAATAAGCGCAGGGCAATGCTCCGACTACTTTGTTCCAAATGTAATGTGCGGACCTCGAAGCATCTGACTGACCCACATTTGCGCATGCTTGTGCCTTCTTGCGACCACATGGATTGGATTTTGGTACCACCTATTTGACACTTTTAGGTCACCATCTAGTCAATATGTGCCTGACAGTCCCTTTGATTTCGGCCATGCTTTACGCATGCAAGACTTGTTGAGTACAGTAATCAAGTATGGGGGAGATCGCTTGCTAGCTGTTCATCCCATTCAAGGTGTTCTTCAAAGCAGACGGCCTGCACATGCAACCATAATTTGATTGCAGATGCAGAGTCAGAATGTGCTTCTGCACTGTTGCACGATTTGTCTCTCTTTACAGGAACGTGTGTGCTTGTCTAGAACCTGTGTGCTTTCTTTGATTTGTTCGCTTGATTTCCATGATTTCAATGGTTTATTTGGTTGCCTATTTGCCCGCCGCCCTTACTTGTGCCTGCCAGTTACCTGCCATAGTCCAAAAGCGAATTGGAACGAAATAGTCCAGTGATTCACCGAAGGCCCCACTCGAATAAGTCTCAACATATCCACTAAGGGACGACGCTCGGTTCCGTTGTCAAGTTCGAACCAGGCGGCCGAAGAAGCCCGCGCAGAGGAGATGTGAATGTGTGAGCGAATTGACAGTGTTAGGACCATTTTAATATACAGTATATATATATATAGGAAGAACTGTTACATTCTTCAAATTTGTGTCGGTGTGGATGGATGAATGATGAAAGATGAACATATATACTAAAAACCTTCGCATTCCCTGCTTAGAAACTTGGGATTTGGGGGTGCACATCTACACATGGAACCATAGAGTGATTTAACAGCACTTGCGTGATCTACTTGACAAGCCTCTTGTACGACCAGGGCGGGAGACTGTGCTTTGCAGCTGCTTTGGAGCTTTTCTTCCGAATGGAGGACCTGCTGTCAACGCTAGCGACCTGGTTTAGACCTGGTCGCCTTTGCACCACTGGTTGAGGCAGATTTGCGCCGCGCGTTGGTGTGGAGATTTGTCGACCATGCTTGGACGCTTTGTCCAAGATGCTTGGACGCTTTGTCCTGGAATGCCCATTTTGGGGCCAGTTTTGAAGAGGCATTCCACGAAGAACCTTTCATTGTTGTTGCAGCATTCAACGAATTTGTGTTTGTTTTTGTTTTTAAATAAAGCTTCTTGACCTAAGGGGGATTTATCGCAGCGGCCAGTCGGCCAGGTCGTGGAAGCAGCCCCAATGCTTGGACTGCAGAATCCATGTGACTAGCATCAGCTGGGGTTGATGGCTTTTTCAGACCTCAAGAACATTCTAGAACAGAGGTTTGGATGCACTTGTTGTTATATAGTAATTATGCATATAATTGTATATATATATAGCTTCTCTTAAAGAAAGTGGATTCAGATGCTTTTTGTGTCTTTACTCCCTGCTTCGCCATGTCTTATGGACATGTTTGGAGAAGTTTTGGAGCCACCTTTTGAAAAAGAACTGACTTGCATCCTGTGAAGTTTGCATGCTGTAAGGAGGAGGACAGAAAAAAAAACGGGAAAGCACACTCAAATCCGGGGTCACAACTGAGGTACAACAACCGCGGAGCCCAGCGTAGCGCCCTGTGTCTCTGTGCAAGTTGAGATTGGCTTGTTGCTGTTCTCGTGTCTCTCATGATCCAAGGATGCAACTGGCAGATTTAGTCCCAATTCTGATTTCAAGACATGGTGCATTCAAATGGACTTTGTGTTGTTTGGAGCTGCACGCATTGGCACTTAATTAATTGTATAATTATGATTACTTTAGAACATGCGATTCTTCATTTCTCTTGGAGATCTTTGGATCATTGAGATTTCGTAACATGTCTAGTCTTACGCGCCAACGGTGGGCCAAAAGCTGTGGTACAACATGGCCGTGTCGCAGCTGCGCGAGGTTTATTTAGCTTATGGACTTCGTAAGCAAGGAATGCAACATGTGTCGGTTCTGTCAGGGACTACTCAGCAAACCCGTGTCCACAGGGCTTTGAATTGCTTTCAGAAAAATATGGCTCTGTCAGCCAGCATTTGAAGACTACGAGGGCCTTTGCCAGGGCCCAGTCGCCTTTGACAACTTCAACATGGAAATCTTGGAAGAATGGTCGCAGCATTGCCAAGCGCTGGCCTTGCTTGGGCGTGACATCTGCGGACATTGAGCGGGAATTAGATGTGCTCCTCGTAGAACCTCTTCGTGAAGTGCGTCACGAAGTTTCTTGCGTGCTGGCCATGGACAGATTCGACCAGCAGTCTAGTCTACCCAAAGTGTCAATGTAATCTATTATTCAAGTGATCCAGATTCCAACATCATCAGAGGCGGCAAGTCCCTGAGATGCCAGCATCGCACTGCACATTCTCAAGTGCCTTTCATCCAAGATTGACATGTTTCCGTTGCCTTCTCTTTCGACATGCCCATCTTTTGACAACTTGGGTCTTGTTGGCTAGCCTGGCGCGAAGGTTGTGCTAGAAGCTCACCCCACCTTTGTTGGGGTGTTTCACCTCTCAACAAATGTGGGGAAGAGGTGGGATGTCAATCTTGAAAGAGAGTGGAGTCGTAAGTTTGCTCTCAAATTTGCCTGGATTCTCTTCCAGACTCTAAGATCCAAACTGGTATGTACAAAGGGCGCGCCCCAGCGCAGCATCCAAAGACTTGAGGTAAGATGTGCGGCAAAACGGACTCCCTGAATCACAGACAAGCAGCTAGTGACCTTTGAGTAGGTTGCTGCGGTGATCTTCCAACAAAGACAGTCACAAAGCATCAGAATCACTCCCAAGCTCTTCGAGACGGTTTGCTTCAACACTTGGATCACGAAGTCACGAGCAGGAGCACGTTGTTATTGTTGTTTTGTGTGTCTCGAAAGCTTTGCGCGCACCGCGCACCTCCCACAGGCCTGGAATTTGGACAATACTAGCAAAAGATTGAATTGGCTATTTTAAATGAAACACATGTGACTTGACTTTTAGATGAAAGCATTCGGCAAATTCTGATGATGCCCTAAATCTTTGGATAGTTGACAAGAATTGTCCTTTCCAGGCTGCACCATGGCAGCTTCCCGCCTGGCCAGACATTGCTCCAGACAGGTACAAGATGTACAAGTGAAACATGTCGCCCAGATATGATAGTTTGCTGTTTCCTAGAGCTTATTTGTGATTTTGGATGGTTTTGGTATTTTGGTGTTCTATTTATCATTGGGTGGTGGAGCGGGTTGCTGACACAACTTGGTCTTGGTTGAAATCTGATTTCTAGGCAATCTCATGCAGCGAAGACCCTGGGGTTGGCATAGCAAATGACAGCTACCAAGCAGAGGAACGTCCGAATGTCCCACCAGCAAGAGGCAGATCAACAAACACTTGGTGCACGGAATATTATGACCACGCCATGCCATGCGATATCATTCCATGCTTTATGTAAATTTTGCAAAACTTCCATGCTTTCCCTTCTTTGTATCCCAACCCCCCCAAGCAAAAGCCACGACGCGTCACGACAACGGTGCAGGCATGGATTCGTGCCGTGCGAAGCTTCTCGACCGATTTGAAGCAAACACTGACCTATGAGGTGGGAACCTTCGGATTGTTGGATGCTGTCGGATGGTGTCATGGTAGGTCGGTTGACATTCCGTGGTCAGGGTTGCTGTTTTTGGAATGAATGTCTCCTCGACATCTTCATGTCTTGGTATCTTGGTGTCTTGGTATCTCCATTTTGACCTCGTTTGAAATGATGCATACTCATCGCTCCTCGAGTTGTTCCGGAATCCGAGGGACCATCCGCCGTAGCATCCGATGCGGAAATTTTTCTTCACGGCGCAGGAGCACCTCAAAGAGGGTGGCAAGATGGTGGACTTTGCAGGCCGATGGACACGTGCCAAAAAGAGCATGTCTTCACATGTTTCGAGTAGAGCCTGGGACACGGGGGTTTCAGCAGACAATGGCAGGTTACTAGTTGCTAGTCGATGTAGTACCATAGCTCTTGAGTGTGTTGGAGCAGCTGCAATTCCAGGCTATGCCATGCCTGTGCAGTACGAAGCAAAAGGGAGCAAACATGCGCTGAGCATTATCGATTCAACCAAGTGGACTCGATGCTTCGGCAGCGACACAGATAGATCAAAGAGGTCAAAATGCATCCTTTCAACCTTCAGCATAGCGGGGGCACTGTGGATCATTCTCGCGCCATCCACGAGTAATTATATAACTTAATATACCATTACATACAATTACACAATAATGTCAATGCCTTTTTTTCTTTTTGCGGGAAAGTTGTGACTGTGAACCTAGAGGGTGCTGAAAACAAGGAATACCGAGTGACTGCCAACTCCGCCATTTTGACCCCAGAAACTGCGTTCGCCAATCGAAACCTCTTTAAGGAGAGAGCGCCTCTCTCTTTGACGTGAGTCACATGTGCAGCATTAGGTGTGGGAGCTTGCAGGGTGGGTGGCTGCATCTGGCTGTAATCATGCTCGTGTGACTCGAAAACTGCGACCATGACTGTAATCATGCTCCTCATGGCTGAGCGCATGACGCGGCCATTTGTATAATGATGGCAGACCCATCTGATGGACGTCTTGGCCTTCTCTTCCAGGTGGACTGGCAAGGACGCCTTTGACTTCGTTGAGAGGGTCACCACCGCCGACGTCTACGGACCGGAAAGGGGCCTTCCAACCGCTTGCAGCAAGTCCAAGCTGCTTTCTCGGCTTCAATTGGGCGTGTCTTTGAGTGATTGAGTGTCTGCGTTTACGTTTAGAACAATAAACTTCTACGAGAAGCTCTCAACTTCCCAAAACTCCCCCTCCAAGCAGCGGCGGAGCTGCTCACAGCGAGGACTTCCTGCAATGACGGGCTCTCTGAGTGTCATCACCAATGAGCGAGGTGGTGTCATTGATGACACACTAGTGGGGACCTTACTGGGAGGCATATCGGTGGTGGTTTTGGTTTACTTCTGGTCACAAGCTGAAGGAGAGGAATCCTGGTGCCTGCCAAAGCTAATATAGCTCATTGAGTTCCAAAAGGATGATTTGTTGGTGTCAGCTGGAGGTGACCAAGTGCAGCTCTAAAGAACATGGAGAGCATGTCTATCAGGCGTGTCGTTGAGATGGTGCATGTTGCATATATCTGCGCAGTGGAATGCTAGCATGTCGGGCGGGCATCTTGTAGAACCTGCTTATGAAACACGGGAACTCCTGCGGTGAATTCGGCTTCGCTGTTCCTGTGTGTTCCTTCTCAATTGGGAGTAGAAGTTTGGCAACTGCATGAGACTCAGCGGATGTCCGAGCCAACGATTAAAGAAATGCCTGCCTTGTGTCAGTTTTCCTTTGTGCGCTAGGTGGTGAATGCTGGTTGTGCACCAAAAGATTTGAAGCATTTTGAAGAGCAGTTGGGCAAGTTTGGCGGCGATGTCAAAATGGAGGCTGGCTCTCATGTTCCTCTCTCCCTCTCCTCGTGAGTCTGTAATTGAAGTGTCATTTCATGTCCAAAGACTCCTAAGAATATCATGAAGTAAAATCACAAGGAACTGAACACGCACACTCCCACAGTAGTCTAATATGACGTGACACACCACTACAACTACGTATGGATGCTGTAGTACTTATTATGCATTCAAAGAATCTTATAGATGCCTCTTAGATTGAATCGACAGTACATCAACTCGACCCCAGGTCATGTGGGACAACCGAGGGCTCTTTGCGATCCAAGGGCCCAAAGCAGCAGAGGCGACCCAATGATTCTGCGAATGGGAAAGATATGGCACGATGGTGCAGTGCAACCCGTGTTGCTGACAACTATACAGACATAGTGGAGTGTTGAACATATACTGTACAAAGACACGAAAAGCATGAAAAGGCCGTGACACCCCTTTCTTAGTTTATACTTTATTGGAGATACTGGCATCAAAGCAGACCAACACCAAATCAAGTTCCGCACTTATGGTGCTTACTATTTTCTTCTTTTCTAGCCCCAGCCCCTATTAGCCCCTTAAGCAAGGAGCTGCAAATTGTTTCTATTGGGGAAACTATGTATTTGAAATGCTCTTGTGACCAGCAGTTATCATCGTTGTGCTGACCGACCAAGACCACTGGTGCTTTCAGTTGCGTTTTGGAGGTCCTTCAGCGCCTCAGCCCTTCTACAGACCTGAAGTCTGTGCCCTTCGGCCAGTGCTTTTGGATGACACTGGAAGGCGTGGCACAACAGAAAGCCAACAGGATATCGTGATGTATGTAGTGTGTGTATATATATATACACAATCCGGATGGGGTCGGCAGATATATTGTATATATATGAGATATACATGCATCCACAGTGGTATTTCCAGCATGGTGCTGCTCAAGACCCTGAGGGCACCAGCCGAGATGGTGATGTTTGCTTAGGAATCAGGGAGTTGCTCCCAGCTGAGAATGCAACCAGCTCATCACGCTGCAACCGCCATTCGCAGGTGCTGAGTGCCTGGTGTCTCGGTTCCTTGGTCAAGAGTGGCGACTCACATGAGTGTTCATGAGGTTTCACGCATTTTGCCTTCGGATTGCTGGAGATATCAAAGGATATTTGAAAGCTTCCTTTAATGTGGAATTGTTCCGCGTAATATAATTAATGATAATTAATGGAAATGCACTGCTTGCACTGCATTCCACCGTGGAATCAGATTCTGTACAAGAAGAGCTAATCCTTTGAGCAGGTGTGGCTACACAGGTGAGGATGGCTTTGAGGCCACACAATCGGAGGGAGTCGGAGGGGTTCGGCTTGTTCACTGAATGCCAAAGGGCATGGTGTCGCTCTTCAGCGCCCGTTCGCTGCGCAGGTCTTCGTTCCCGGTTCCGCTGCCGTGCCGGTTTGGCAATTGCTGACCTCACAAGCCGAAGTGCGGCTGGCAGGGCGCGGCCAGTGGGACAGAGAAGTTGGAGTTGGAAGGATTAAACATCTATGAAGGAATTTAGCTAGGACACCGCAATGATGTGATATGTTTAGATTCATGAACTGGAAAGGTTCGTGATCCTCATCGCAAGGAGACTTAGTGTGAGAGTACTGTCACTATCAGCATAATTGGAGCTGTAAAATTGTCTAAACACATTATTGACCTCTTCGACTGATGGTTTGGTACTGTAATTGCCGGTTGAACAGAATCAATCTGAATCATCCGCCTTTCAACCTGACTTCTTCGAAAATCCGGGGCCAGAAGGCCCTCCACTCCTGCTCTTACGAGAACTTCTTCCCCACCTATCTTGCTTTGAAAAGACCGTGAACGGCATCCCCGTGAACGGAATCGGTGTGCTTCGGATTCCGCCAGGCTCGGAGCCCGTGATTCCCTGCGCCTGGAAGCCGGGCTTTGCTTGTATGGCCGGGTTCCGCCCGTCCACCGACTCGCGGACGGGGTTGCTGATGCCAGGGACGGGATCATGCAAGCGAGAGGTTCCGGTAAGGCATGTACGGACGTGATCGACTGACAGATCGACCGAGCACAGAGAGAGAGAGAGAGAGCTTCTTGTTCCCTAGTAGCGATGGCCTCCAACCTAATAGTGATGGCCTCCACCTAGCAGCTTCTTGCTACTGAGAGAGAGAGAGAGATAGAGAGATTGATTGATTGGGAAACTTGCAGCGAAGTCGTCAGGTCATGAGCTTGATGAGGACAAGCGGGCAATGATGCAATATGAATCAATATATGACGCAATTGACGAGAACCAGGTTGTATGTTGTGGAATTTGCAATGTGTTCCAACATGAATTTCCACGAAACCACTCAAAAGGCATGTGGAGCAAATCTACACTACACTGCTGTGATGAGTTGGCACTCGTGCGCACCACAAAGGATCCATCACATGAATGGAGGGGGTGTTTGATTCATCAAGAAAGTCGGTCCCGTGAGCCTCCGAGGCTCATCGTGTGGGGTTTTTGGTGTTTGCCTATCACCCTCCCAGCAACATCCGTGAGTACTGCTACCTTCAATCCATCTCCACACGGGCTTTGGATCACACATTGCACAAGGTGCCCTTGGAATCTCCAACTCCAACCCCTTCGGTGCATCTCCCAGATGTAACATCTGCGAGGACACCAGTCCTTGTGAAGCTGGTCTCAGTGGGGATCTCAGAAAGGTTGGAACGTATACACCCAACTTGGCGTGCGCTTGAGTTGCCATGTCTACGGCTTTAGAAGCTTTGGCCATGCCTTAGCTCCGTTCGTGCTACAGTAGTGTAAAAATCAATCTCAGAGTCCAGTTTGTTGAAGAACAACGAAGATGGATCAAGAATATATTTGCTCGAAAAGGCACACGTTTGCAACTGGTCAAAGGACTGACAGTTTGAGGTTCTAAGTTTAACTTCATTTGTGGTTGTTTGGTGGCAGTGACCACGATGCGGTAGCTCAGCAGCATGTGTCATATTAATGAATGCACGGCATCCTGCAGTGTGACCTCATTGCGGACAGGGCATAGGCTGCCAGTGATGGGGGGATGTTTATGGATGGGGTTGCATCTCATGTTTGGCATATTATATTATCATAAATTTATATACAGTAATGCTGTCCGAATTGTACTATATGATGTCTAAGCTCCGATTCTGACAAGGTTTACAAGGCTCCTCACTCTCGATTCGAACCAAACAATGATGCAATCAACATGATCGGTACTTTGTTTGACCTGATCCGTGCTGTACATGTTCTGAGGCTGGGTCATTCCCAAGGCTAGACGTGACGGAGCTAAGAACAAATTCATCGGAAGCTGCGCTCTTAGTGAGTGCTGCTTCACTGTGCTGGGCTCATGGTTCGGCACACATACGAAGAAGGTTTGGTTCGCCTTAGATAGCTACAGTAATGACTGCAGATTTGGAAGGAAACCCAAACCGCCGGCCTGTTGAATGATCGAGAGATAGAGAGAGTTAGAGGTGGGATGCCGTAGGCCTGGCTTGACAGAAAATTCAGGCGATGAAATTCTAGCCCAACTCTCCGACAAGTCGCGATACAAGAGGCGAGGGAAGGAAGGGGATTCCACTCGTGACTTGTCCCACTTTGCTCCTGACATCTCCTGACTGTCCCGCTCGAATTGCAATATTAAGCATTTGGCCTGGATGTTGTGGCTCAGCAGGCAAACGCATTACTACAAATGTTGTCCATGATTTCATGCAAGCTTGGTGTTTTTCACGCCTTTGCATGTCTTTGCATGGAGCTCTACCAAAAGCTTCCTCAGCTTCTTTGAGCCAGACTGCGTGCTGGGCTGATGCCGGCATCTGGACCGCCAGCTAGAGAAGGAGCTGAGATCGAGACCTTGGACGGGCAGGTTGTCGGGAAGGCCACATTCTCACATTCGCTGAATTTTCAGATCGCTTTCTGTGCTGCTGTTAGGACGCTACTAGTAGCTCCTGGCATCACTACTAGGAAAAACAAGCTAGTAGGAACAAAGGGCATCGCTACTAGGAGCATAATCTTTGTTCCTAGTAGTAGTCCACCTCACAATGGTTGCACCAGGGCGACAGAGCCAATGTCCCGCGAGGTGACCAGCGGAAGCATGTCCCCTTGCTTGAAGAAGAACATCTCGATTGGCCTGAGACTCGAGAGATGCACGTCATATTTCGATCACAAGCAATACCGTGTTTGTTTTCTTTGTAATGCCACACATATATACACCTGCGTTCTTGATGAAATTTTGGAAGAGAGCCTCGGCAGTCGCCTTGAGATGTATTTTAAGGCAAGTGGAGGGGATCTTTTGCTTTGAAGCACCTGTCAGTTTTGTTGTGCCCTCGGCAACAAGCAGGCTACATCAACAAGCCCCACAACAAGCAGGGCACCGACCTGCAAGTGGTGGTCCGTGGCAAGCGGCATCCAGCGAAAGCGCGGAGACTCAGAGGCTGGTGGGAAGGACTCCCACGAAGTGCCCTGGACCCACGAGGCTGGTGGGGACAGGCAGGATCACCTCAAAACAAAGGCAGCGAACTGGTGTTGAAGAGGATACAAATCAAAGCTTTGCAGGTCGTTTCGCACAGTACCCCAACTACCATCGACCGCCATGAGCCAGGACATGTGTGAAAGTGAAAAATAAATAGATAAATAAGATTATATACGTAAATAAATTATATATATATTATATATATCAATATATATATATATGTGTTTTGCTAAAAAACAAAAAGATCATGCACTCACCAAAAATAGATAGCGTGACAAACGCCACACACGATAATATTTCCCTCACCAAATCCTGAAGAACTGAATTCCACAACAAATTTTGACCGTCGCTCATATAAGAATGTATGTTGAGTTGTTGCCTCAGCCTATGAACCCTAATCCAAGCCCCTCTCATGTAAGGAGCTCAATTTTGCACTTTTCCATCCTTGTTATTCAGCAGCAATATCCTGACATACAGGGTGACACCTGAATAGACAGCTATCTATCCTTGTTGCTGTTGTTTCAGACCTTTTCCGAACTGAGCAAAGATATGTTCAGTTGGCATCCCACCAATAGATGTGTTCCGTTGGGGACTTGTGAGGGAGTGTCACGTGGCCACCCAACCCCACCTGGTGACCTGGCGGTTTGCTTTGAGTCCTTGGTTTGAACTTATGATGGCTGCTGTATGCCGGACCCCATGCCGGACCCCAGCCATCCTCCCAGGTCGTCAAGATGCCTTTCGTGCCCACCAAATACTACAAACCCTGAGCTGGGCAAAGTTGCCGCAGCCTCACCTCACACAATTGAGTTCGCACATCTTGGACAGGCCTTCAAGTTTGGACACCTGCCCTCCTTGCGGATTGATGGACATGGCATGACACGACCAAACACAAACGGCCCTCTGAAAGGCTCATCATCAGTAAAGGAAGATGTAGAACGAAGAATGCCCACAGCTCAATTGTCGCTTTTCCGCGCCGCCAACGACTTTGGTCTCTTGCCATCGGATCTCTTTGAGGATTTCATGCCCACTTGGCTGCCCAAGAGTAAAGATACAAACAGGACTAATTCAGTATCATTCAGTACAAATAGTGCTTTTGGTTGGAATTCTCAGAATCCGTCAATCCTTAGCCCCAATGGGGGATTTTTGCGAGAGTTTGGCGGGCCAAATCAACAGCACGTCACCTGACTAGATTTGGCGTTGTTGTGAGGAACAGCGTTTTTCCCGATCTTTATCGCTGACCACTTCCAAGTTGACAAGACTGTGAGTGTAGCGAGTGTTCCACAGTTCTCGCATGGATTGTATGACTGCGGCTTGAAGTTTGGGCTGCGTTGTGGCTTGATTAAGCTTTTCTCAAACATGTAATATCGGCCTCAAAGAACCACGCTAGACTACAACCATGCATTCTAACATGGACTTGCCATTCGACGTTGCAAGAATGACAATCAGACGTGTTTGACAGATTGTTTGCTCAGACATTTCGCAATGTCCACAGTTGAACCAGCGATCATCAAGTCTTCATATATGCATGATAGACATGTATAAAGCTCAACCTAGAATAGTTTACATATACAGTGGATCGCTTCCTGAGAGCCACCTTCTCCATCCAGACGTCGAGGCGTTGCGTGTTTGCACGCTGCATATTGTGTGTTTCAGCTGTGCTTTGGTCATTGCATCTTGCCCCTTTGGATCAACGTGAAGGCGCCAGGGCCTAATTTGGATGCAAGGATTGCAAAGACCAAAATTCCACCCAGCATCCTCCTAGTTGTCAGAATTGTGTAGGTCAAGAAGGCTGAGGCCGTTCGATAGAGGAACCTTGTGAGAATACTTTTGTTGACAAGACTTGCTTGAAGACTCTTTGTTGGCAAGACTTACAGTACTTCCGGTACCTGACTCCCTGCTACGAAATGACCACTAGCTAATCGTACGCCATGTGTGGATGCAGCGATGGCGCCTTCGGCGGGATTTCGCTTGAAGGTCCGCTGACTAGTTTGTGTACTGATTGGAAGGACTGCAGAATGTACTTGACCAATTCGTTTGTGCTGTACCAGTTCACATTGGACAGCACCAACTTGCTTCAAAGATTTGTCCCGTGAAAGTCTTGTTTGGGGTTGATGAAGAAGTTCTGCGGTCTGCGAGAAGATATTCTGGCTGCCCTGGATATACACATTGGTATCATTGGTGCAGGGTGAACATGTTCTCCTAAGAGCTTTCAACACAGAACGAGTTTTACAATCTGATTGATGTGCAGCCTCTCTACTGGCAGTCTCTCCAACACAGAGTAGATAGATAGTTGATGTAGCTGGCAGCCAGACATAGACATGGAAGATCTGACTGAGGGTCCTTTGTTTGATTCGGAATGAAGTTTCTTGTTTGAGTTGTGTGCAATTGAAACTGAGGTTCTCTTGAGGAACCTTCAGAGCCCCAGCGCAGGAGTGTTGTGTTTGCACTGCACTTCTTGCCAGTTTCTACTGAAATATAGTTCTTCTGGGAAGTAAGTGAGGACGGTTTCATTCCAGCTAAGCTGACTTTGCTGATGCTTGAGGTTTTTAGGCAGAGATGATACATGTATTTTTATATGTCCATAAAATATGTAATTACTAGATGCATAATGATGCATACACATATGCAGATGTACATGTGTACGCAGATGAACACCTAATAGTCTTTGTCTCACTCCCAAACCAGTGAAGATGTCATGTTCGAACTTCGAGCCTGTGGTTTTCCTATATAAGACTGCTTGGCGCAGGCGAGCGCCTGGATGCTGTAAGGACTCTGAACACGGGCAAGGAAGGCGCCAACTGGGCTCAAAAGTAGGATTGAATGCAGACATGCTGATTCCGACAAGATTGCAGATCTAGTGGTGTGCCTGGTGAAAAGCTGGTGAACACAAGCAGAGCAGCACGTATGCCACCGAGAAATATTCTTTTGGCTTGGTCAGATCTGGAGCTTGGCAGTGCTGATATCATGACCGAAGCATAATGATCACAAGGTAGAACGGGATTGCGAAAATAGTAATGCGGAGCAAAATACTGGCAACCACTCCTGAGACAATGTCAAGCATGCCCTTTCCGTCGAGATGTCATTGGATTTCCAGAACTTGCAACCTTTTCATGGCTTATTCTTCATGATTCCATCTGTTCGTTTGTGGTGTTCCGAAGAGCTGGACTTTGAGCTCCGATGCCAGGCTCGTCTGCGGCTTTCCTTGCCGATGCCCTTTGCAGGGATGGAGACTGGCAAGTCCGGAGGACCGCGGCCAAGGTGTCTCGGATTGCTACCGTGTTTCCGTGTTTGGGGGATACTCTTTCAAAGGAGCGCATGTCAAGTTTAGGAGCAAGGACGCTACTAGGGGCTCCTGGCCATACTACTAGGAGCAAGGAAGCTACTATGTATGGTAGATTGATGAAGTTTAAGGGCCGGGATGGAAGAGTTTGATGCAGCTCTAAACGTATGAGTTCTCGGCTCTCGGGCTCCTATAGGCACATAATTATCGTCTCATATGTCACATGGCCGTGGTTCCCACTCTTGGTTGGACTCAGGCTCTTGGCGCGCTGGGTGCACCTGCCAGCAACGTGCTTGTGCAAGCACTCGGGGATGCCAACCCCTTTGTGAGGCAGCTGGGTTGGTTGAAGCACAGATGAAGCATCACTGTAGCTGGAGAGAGAAGGACATTCCCAGCCGAAGTATACACTGGACTTGGATGGACTTGGACTGTTTTTTGGTTTTGCAGATTGACGAGCTTCCACCAAGCGAGGGACATATACAAGTCATGGGGCCTCACGGTTTTTAAGCGTGCTTTCGCACAAAGGTCCAACCCCTCATGACCGGGCATCATTCCCAAGAACCCGGCTACTTGTAAAGGTGGAAACCATGCACGATGGATGTCGCCCCACCCTGCCACTGGATCTTTTCCCAAGTATTTATTTTGCATTAGTGATCAATAGTCCAGATTTGGTCCGCACAACCTGACACTGAGGGAAGCTGCTGCAGAAGCGATTGGGCATGTGAGCTCAGGCCTTTTAGCAGCGTTGTGAAGTGTGAAGGGCTGATTGCTCGATCCAGGCAAATCAGATATGCGAGTTCGTTCCAGTAGGTCCTGGGCCACAACGCTAAGCAACCGACACGGGCAAACTCCCATCTGGAGTTCCCGTTCCCCATGGTCAATCACATGCTGAGACATGTAGCTTCTTAATTCCAAAATGCCTGAGATCAGGTTCTGGACCCATTCAGCTGGCTGCTTTGGAGGCCGTTTGCAGTCTGAGCAAACGTTTTGGGTTGATTTGCCTCTCCGGTGCATTTCTTTCAGACCAAATCAGCAGAGTTGTTGTATGTTTTCATGACGCAGATTTGCATCTGAACTATGAGGGTACGGTATGGCCGTATGATGCCGTATGGCCTTTTTTGATCTTTTTTGTTGCCCCGAAGGGTATCGCACAGATGTTCCTGAAGGGCAGTCTTCTTGACATAACATTGCGTCCAACGAGGCAGTTCTGCGGCATGATGCCATGCCCTTTGTGCGCAGCGCCGCCGGACGTGCTATTGGGACAGAGATGGCCGTGCTTTTGGTTTCGATTTCGGTGGACCAATTCAATCCTATACTGGCAATGGCCTCCGACCTAGAAGCGATGGCCTCCACCTAAGAGCGATGGCCTCCAACCCAATAGCCATGGCCTCCAACCTACTAGCACGGCCGCCGCCAATTCAATTTGTTGCGAATTAAGACATCGATACTGTTTTCGTGCGGCTGCAAGTCCAGCTGTCGCTTTGAGGGTGGAAGGACTGATTTTGAGTGTAATGGTTGTGCTTGCATGCTTCATCAATGGCAGATGCGGCAGATGGTTACAGGATGTTACACAATTACATGCCATTGGCGGCTTGTGTTGATTCATGTTGATTCTTGTTTTGTCCAACGAGGAGCCTTGCAGCTACTGGACAATGCGGCCAAAGCCACGTGGTGAAAGCGCACTCTAAAGACCTTCGGGCTTCGGGATTGATTGAGAGGCCATGTACTTAATCTTGCAAAGGCTGAACAGTTGATCTTGAAGACTTCTGAATTAATCGCACTGCACGAGATTTTGAAAGGACCTGAGTCGCCATGTCAATCTGTCAATCCTATATAGGCAAGTTGTTGGCCGCTTTTGGGTGGATTCGCCTTTCAGGGACACACCATGTACAGTAAAAGCAAAACAAGTACAGACAGCGAGAGCAAGAAGGGAAGACATATTTGAGTCACGGTCAAAATAAGGGTAGATCTTAGATCACTTTAGTAGGGAGGGAGCAGTAGTGCTGAGAAACTGCACCAAACCATGCTAAGTGATAAGGCCTCCTCCCAAAAAAGATACACATACGACAGTCCATTCAACTTGGCGTAAACCAACCAAATACTGTTGTGAACCGATGAGGGAAATTCAGCCTGCAGTTGTCGTATCATTTGTCGTCCAAAGTGATTGAACTGTTCCAAAGCGACAACCTTGGCGATGACGATGAGTGATAACTTAGCGATAACCATTTGTTACACGAAGACCCGCGGCCAAGGGTTAGACCCACGAACCTATAGATATAGACAGCACCTGAAAAAAGACGTCCTTCATGAAGAGTAGAAATGGATATTGACGTAGTGGTGGCTCTGCTTAGGCTACCACATGCAAAGAGACCCCCATTCGCTGCTCCCTGATCCCTGAACAAACCTAAGCCGGACATGACAGCTGATGGGCCCATAGCGGAGGCCTCTAATTCCTAACTAGACGTTCGACGTGGTCCCTTCGCAAGGTTATGCCGCATTGGAAGACGCCTTATTGGATGATGCCTGGCAGGAGAGGACTCAAATCTGCTGCAGGATACTGCCAAGGATATTGTTAGGGCGACTGGAAGAGCAGACTCTCAACATCGGTATGAGATTCCGTTTGTGTTTTTCCCAGAATGCATCGTTTGGGTTGGGTCATTTGGATGGTGCTTCATGTGTTTCAAGATGACAGGTGCGCTGGCAGGCAGCAAGAGCGCTGGCATTCAGCTCGGAAGACCAGGCCAAACATGGTGACTAGACAAAACAGCCAAACAGGCAGGCACATGATTCTGGTCTTCTCTTCCGTTACATGTTACTTCAAACGGCGTCAGTTGCTGCCCCATGGGCCAAAGGGCCGTCACAGTGCACAAGTCTTACGGCTGAGTTCAATCCAGGCTCCACCGATGAAACTCTTTGCCAAAGGGCCCGTGTCGCGTGAGGTTGCGTCCGTGGCCTCCTGCCTCAAAGATGAAAGCTGGCTAGTGAGACGCGAAGCTTGTGCATCTTGGCGAAAGTAAGGGAACAGACCAGATCAAATATTTGGGCTGGAGAACTTGAGGAATTTATATACTAGCAAGATTTGATATGTCCTTGGGATGTAGCGGCAGAAATAGAGAGTGATTTCGTGTGATTTCTGTAGGCGCCACTTGGAGCACCGTTTGCCAAATCCGGATTGAAAGCCTAGACAAAAAGCCAAGTGTTGTTGCACCAGTTTTCATTGTCTTGACAAAGGGTTTACCAATGTTTACCACAATTAATTATCAGACATCAGCACAAGCTCTTTAGACATATTGATCATATTGAATGACATATTTTCAGGCGGCGCACTCTCTCAGCGTTGCAGGCATCGCTTGGTGTGCTCAGCTCTGTGAAGGGTCGCAGTGCTTTGGAGAAAGCCTTGAGGCAGGTCTGTCCTTTAACATCTGACATGTCTGTGACATCCCCAAAAAGCATTCCGGCGGACTGTGTCCCGTCCGTGCGCCTCCGCTTCGCCGCTTCCGCGGACACCGCCGCGTTCCGGACGTGACCTGCAGAGGTCAGACTCCGACTCCCGCGTTCGAGAAGAAGCGGCCAAGAGTTTGGCGGCGATCAGTAAGCAACTTGAAACGCACGGGGGCAGGACGTACTGGGCAGGGTACAACGATAGAGTTCCTTTCATGACTTGGCCAAGACAGTAATCACGGTATGACTCAAGGGTGCTAATATGTCTGTCGACTGGTACTACTGGGCGCTCAGGTCTGCGAAACTGCTGGGCAAATCTACTGATGCAACTGGATTCCCTACAGATGCCCTTGCAGCTGCTTTGAAGGCTGCAGCCCTGTTATTCAGAGAGGATTTCTACACATTGCGGTCGATGAACACGCAACCGGCACATCGTACAGTCGTCTCAGCTCAGTATTGTCAGGATGAGGAGGTGAGGGTCCGCACTGCTGCAATCGTGGCCTTGGGCTCGCAACCGGTGGCTGCGTGGCTTGGCGGAAGAGACATGAAGCACATGAGGACACAGCTGCGTAGACCAGAGAATGGAAGGGGAAGTTGGGAGGAGGAATGCAAGAGCTTGTGCATGCATGGATCTGGAAACAGTGTTTGTTCCAATATGTTCTAATTTAATCTACTTAAACCTTTGTAGGGATTCGCTGTTGAGGAGTGACAAGAGCAAATTAATTCAAATTACATTGAAACCTTTGGTTTTGAACCTCTTACTTGTAGGAGGTTCTAGAGCATGAAAAGTGTGTGTTAGCTACCCTGTTAAAGGACCAATGACGACCAATGTATCAAGTAATTGTGGCTGCATACCTCAAAGAGTGCAGCTTTCAATTGGATTGATGATTCCAACACCCACGACGACCATTGGAATCGGCCTTCCATTGGAATCGCAGCCCAATGGGCATGGGACATCATGGGACATGAAAGCACCCAGCCTGAGGCGTCAGCATGCAGGGTATTTGGTCGAACAGCTCCTCACGGGAGATCGGGTGACCTGGCTAAGCGGCGAAGCCAGGGAGGTGCAATGACCAAAAGCAAGGCCATTGGGCCAATCCAACCAGGCCAAACCATTAAATGGATGACATGTAGAATCAAAACAATCTCTCTTCAGTTTCCATGATGCGACCCTCTCGCACAGTTCTTTGACTGGAAAAATGTCCGAAAGCTCAGGACGTTCGTGCTGCGGTCTTCACCGTGTTTCAGGAAGCAACGAGCCATGCCGGCGCTCGCTTGGTAGCTGCCGCCTTCGACGCTGGCAAGCGCCACCAGGACTGCGAAACAGAGCGACATCGAAACATATCGAAAGCAATTTTGGTTGCTGGTATGTGCAGGTTACTGGCTATTTCTCCCAAAACAATGATGACCCGTGCGAAAGCTTTTGGACAAATGCTACAGGTACGCTATCCATTGCAGTGAACATGGGTGATCCACTTCTGCTGAGCCATCCCTCAACATGTCGACCGTCCCATGTGCACATGTGTGCACCATGTGTGCACAGTGACCCCTCGAGGTGCGCCAGGAGGCGGAGGAGATCATGGCCTGGTCTCGGGCCATCGCTCGCCACGTGCTGCGCTTGGCACAAGATCTTCGAGCTGCCTCCCGCGAGGCCGGCGGAAACACGTGCGGTCGAGCCGCGCGGAGCCGGTCCGAGGACTTGGCTCGCTTTGATCGGTTGGTGTTTGAACTGCGTAGGGACGGTCGGATGGCGTAAATCATTGTGTTGTCATGTATATGTAGGCCTGATAAATAGTTGTTTTTCTACATTGATCTCAAGGTAGCAGGAGCTTTGAACAATATTTTTCGGACACGCGCATGCGTAGGGCTTGTGCCAGTGGACATACCAAAAAGATGTATTTGTATATATGTTTTCTTCTACTTCGTGTTCTCCGTTCTCAGCTGCCAATCAACTCGCAGCGAATGTCAGCCAGGCTCAACTCACAGCAGAACGCCATTTGTCGCTTTTGGGCCCAGCTGCTGGCGTGTGCCTTGTCAATGAGGCAGGGTCTCAAACATGCCATGCCCAGCAGGGTCTTTCAGCGCGCTCCTTAGGCCTGAAGTAGGGAGAATGTCTGAAAAGATATATACACATGCACACCGTATAGACATGTATAGACCGTATAGGTACTATCTATGTTATAGGTACTATCTATGTTAACAAGCTGCGTGGCTTGTGTGCTTTGATTGCTCATCACACACATGGAGCAAATTTGGACACTTACACAAGTTACTGTACGAAGAGATCTGAGTCAATAAGCCTTTGAGGGAAAACATCAATCAAACCTTGGTTTGCGAGTCATGATGTTGTGTTTCAATCGGGATGGCCAGTGCAGCCAGTGGACAGGTGGTAAAAACAAAAGGTGCAGACTTCGGGCAGCGCATGGCAACAATCCGAGGTGGGGTGGGCGGTCATACGTTACGCTGCGGACTCCATTTTAGCCGCTGGGATGGTGCCAAGTTCATCAAATGCCGGAGCCGTTTGAGACTCACAAGTCCAAGAAGAGAAGCGTCCTGCAAGAGTTGAGAATGCCTACCTCCACGTGGATCGTGCCAGCTGGGGTGATTTGCTCCCACATAAAGCCCGTGTGGTCAAGAAGGGCGACATTTTCGTGTTTGCAAGTGGGGCTGTTGATGCTCACACTTTTGCTGACAGCCCACATTGCTCACTACTCGGACGCCAGCTCCTTACTCACCGCGCAATATACCTCGGAGAAGCACAGGATGAGCGATACTCTTGCCAAAGCCCATCAGTTCCAGCATCATGGAGAGATGCTGCATCAAGAGGCTGATCAACACGCTGCCATCTCAAGGAAAGAGGAGCAGGCAAGTGCCGATGCTCAGAAGAAGGCCATGAAAGCAAAGATGAAAGCAGCAAGGTCGAAGACTGAGGCCGAAGAAGAAAACTCCAAAGCTCAAAACGCTCAGCTAGCTGGACAAGCGCTTGCTGCAGCGGCAGCAGCAGATTTCACACATGCAGCTGTCCTGGAGGGGAAAGCTCAAAGTGAGGAAGCTGCGGCTGCAAGTGAAGAAGGAGAAGTAGCGAGTGATGAGGCGGACGAGGAAGCAGATGAAGCCGCTGTCGCTGCTTCTGAATGGATTCCCTTTTTCGATGTCGTGGCAGATGTTACTGGTGGCGCCGTCGCTGTTGCTCTTTCTGCGGATATTGTAAAAAGCCAAGCGCTTGCTACCAAAAATGAAGTGGCTTCCATGAAGGATTCAGTAAAAGCCGGGCGAGAGAAAGCCAAAGCCATGGAGCTTCGTGAGAAGAAGCTTGTAAAACAGAAGTACATGAAGGAGTTGCGGTCCATGGCGCAACTCAAATTTGTAGCAGCTATGGGGGAAGCCGAGTTTGCCGACAAGCTGATTGAGGACTCCAAGATGGAAGAGAAATGGGCGACTCAGAACAAGGGTCGATCGCAAGAAGAGTCAGCCGCGGCGAAGGAATTCGGCATGAAATCCATGCATGCCATTCAAAATGCGAGTGTCGAGAGCAAACGGGCTGAAGAGCTTCGGAGCAGGGCAGCTCAGTTCGGAGCAAAAGCCACTGAACTCTTGCCAGTCGCCTTCCTCTCTGCGGCTCTTCTGCTGCTGTCCAGCTGGACAGTGGGATTCTCAGTGGATGATTTGACTAAGGTATCCGGGGAACTGCAGCAGGGATTCCTAATGGCTAGGATGCCCAGGGATCCAAGAAAGAGCGGAAAATGGAAGTGGCCTATGTTTGTGCTGGAGTGGCTCGTTTTTGCAATGTCTGGGTTGCTTGCTGCCAGTTTGTTCTGCAACAAGGTTCCCTTGGAAGCAACCAAGAAGGATGATCTGGACTCAGCAGTCAGTGTATGGTATGCATTCTTCTGGGCCTTGATCAGTGTCCTTTCCGTGGTTCTGGTGAGAGGGGCTTGCTTTTCAATTTGGGCGCTAGCTGATTTAGAGGCCGCTCGAGTTTGTGCCCAAAACTGCTTGACTTGGGGCGACATGAAGAAGTTGTTGCTTGAGACAGCTATCGCGGAGTGCTTGGTTGCCCTGAATGCTTCAGTAGCCTACGGAGTGCTTGGTTTGTTTGGCTACGTTACTTTGCGAGATTCCTTTCATCGCATCTCCCATGTGAATCCATTGATGTTCCCATACGTGACGGCCATGATCTTCATTGTGGCTTTAAGGGCATGTTGTGGTTTGCTTCGCTGCCCATGCTCTTGCAATGTGCCGGCAATTGCGAGGGAAGTTGGTTTCTTGACACGCATGTGGCAGAATGCTTCTTGGTGGTGCAATGCAGTGGCCCCAGCGATCATCCTCTACATGTGCTATATCAAATTCCATCCTATTTGGGAAAGTTTCCAAGATGTAGCACAAAGTCTTCCTATTGTGTTTCGGGGAGGTCCTGCTTTGCTTCTGGCTTTTGTTCTAGACCTGGCAATCTACATTCGGTTGCTGTGTCTCGAACCCCAGAAGGAACTTTTCAGCAAAGTCACTGCCACAAGTTCTTGGGCTGATGGAAGGTTTTGGAGAAGCCACCACTAAGTGTGGTTTTTCTTGAAACATATGAACTACTGGGATCGACATGCAAAAAAGGAACTGTCCGAAACATTGAACCATCTAGACTGGGTCACGATGAATCCTTGATTTCTTGACCAAACATGACAGGTCTATACAAGACAAACGGGCAAAGAACACATCATTGATTTTGTGTGTGTGGCAGGGCTCATCTCCTGCTTCTCTGCTTCAGAACGTGCACGCTTGCCACCAGACCTTGCTTGTGCCGTCGGGCTCCTAAAGAGTAGGCAAGTAGGCTGATTGGCACCCGAATCAGTTGAAAAAACACGTTGGTCTTTGATCACCTATTTGGCCCACACAGACACAAAGTGGACGATTGCTTGATGGGATTGAGGAGCTGTGGCCATGAGTCCTTTAGGCCCTCTCAGAGTGGATCTACGAGCCCTCGTTGGAACATTTGCCTGTTCCAGGCCGGCTGGTTCATGCTCTATAATTGCTATTGCTGTATTTATATATATCGTTCACCACAAGAAGTGTGAAAATTAGGATGATACAGGGTGGTCGGGGTGGTACAGTATGTGTGTATCATTGGGCAGCCGCCTGACGCACAACGCCGATATATTGGACCATGATTCATGATACTTGCAGGAAATGCCTGCATCTTGGGTGCTTTTTGATTCTTGACTGGCTAAGGCTAGGGTTTGTTGTATGTACTATCGGGAAGTTATCAGGTCCGCATGTGAGGCGCTTGCCACCTTGACTGGTCTTAAGCTATTCGACACCTGTGCAATTTTATTCGTCCTCTACAGGTCGTGCGCCGAGAAAGTCTGGCGCCGCCAGGATTGGAGTTGGTAAAGCTTCAAACTCCGGAGGAACACCACGGGATCAACCTGCAGAGTCTTGGACGATGCAGAGATCGCAAATAGTTTGGGGGCAGACTGGCATTAGGGAAGGGTTACTGCTCACAGTAGATACGTCCCCATATGATGTGACATATTATATATATAATACATATTAGCTATAGTGGGTTCATGATTTCCTGCAGAATGTCTTTGGATGTTTTTGGTTGGTGTTCCGCGTAGTTAGTTAGCTAAAAAGAGTGTTCCTCAACTCATTTGGCCTGACCAGAAACAAATCTCTCTTGCAGCTCCATACATAGTTTACGCGTACTTGATGCTAAACCACTACGTTTATCAAATAATTGTTATTATCACTCATAATATTTACTACAATCATTTTGCCACCATTATGACAAATATTTGATATCCAAGACACTGTGTTTAGCTTACAATTGAATCTGAGTAGTCATCAAAATAGTAGTGCACGAGTGAGGACAGAGGACAATGTACAAGTGGCCACCCAATTCTGAGGTGGGCAGTTCTTCGAGATGACTTGGGCAGCTGCTTTGTGGTCTTCCGTGGCTCTGAAACGGTGTTGGATTGGACCGAGAACAGCGGTCCGGCTGCAACAGACGGTTCCAAAGTTCTCAAAAAGCTTTTTGCTGAACAATGACGTTCCCCTAGATTTGGCTTGAAGAGAACCTAGCGCTGGAGGGAAGGACTTTTGCTTTCGTGAGCATGAGCATGCAGGCTATGTATCACTTCGCCGAGTCTCTGTGCCTGCGTGGCACGGACTGGGGCTGGAAAAGCATATTGTAGCCGCTTAATGTTGCTTTGGCTAATGACGTTTTGCAGCTGTCGCTTTTGCTACGACTGGACCAAGGGTGCAAACTTTTGACATTTGATGATATTGGCTTTAGGAAAGCCAAACTGATTTGCCCTCAACTCTGCCTATCCAGCCAGAACATTTGAGATGTTTCAACTGCTGAGCTTTGTCAAGACGTTGGAACTTTAATGGTGTTCTGTACTTTTGACAATTGATTCTCCAGGAGTACTTCTGCTTCACAGTGGGTTTTGGAGCACTGCAGAGGCCTGGTGATCCAATCGAAAGCTCATGCATACCTGAGGATGTAATGATGGTGACAATACTCTGCACTGCTCCAGCCAGACTGGCCAAATAATGCTGCAGCTTTGTTATATTTTTCCACTCTTCTCTGAAACCTGCAGGCCGAGTCCCAATGCCTTCTGCATGCAGTTCGCCAAGCCGCTGCGGGTTCTCCTTTCGCCCGAGACCCCAGCCCAGTGATCGTGAGCACCAAACCACCCACAAGATGGTGGAGCTCATTTGTTGGGAGTACTGTCAAGGCAAGGCATCCAAAGTGGGAGTTGGAGGGAACGAATAAAGCAGGAGTATCCGAACCGCACTCTCTGAGATTGACCCGATGATTCTGTGTATTATAAATATATTGTATAATATGCATACGGGGAGAGATGGAGAGAGAGTGGGGTGGATGTTGGTGTTATTGTGAACATTAGTTTGTACTGTAGAGGTTTTCACTTAAGTAATAATACTATAGAGAGCCTTGGTTAAAAGAGAACGATGAAGTCTGATTGTCAATTTGTTTTTTCGAGAAAACCACTGAAGCTAGGTGAGGAGTCTTGACTTTCAAGAATAGCTAGGTGTCATAATGCCAGCTGTACCGACTGTAACTCCACAATCCAACCTCCAACGCTTGGCCGGGGGGAGGCGCGCATGCCACCATGATTTCCCACAAAGCCTTCAATGCAAGGGAACCACTCAAACGTAACCAACCTAGAAGCAATGGCCTCCAACAACCTACTAGCAGTGGTCTCCAACCCAGAAGCGATGGCCTCCAACCTACTTGCGATGGCCTCCAATAGTAGCGTGAGGTTCGCCCTTCTCCGTTCTCATGATTTACCTGCAGTTTCCTTTGAAGGCTCCATGATTCTGTACGTGATTCAGCTCATGATAGTGTGGATTCCTTTCCGCATCCACTACTGGGCCAAACATTGGAGGCGAACGATGATTGATGTTTTTGGTTTTGCAGCTGTAGCGGGCAAGCTATTCTGGACACTGGAGACCAAAAGAAAAAAGTAACCATCCCCCTTTCCAGGCCCCACAGCCCACGGTGAACTGGGGGAGAGAAAACGAGATGCTGTCCAACCAGGGCTCTATAGAACCGACATTGACAAGCACCTATGTTGTGGTGAGAATCATAACATATGACGCTTCCAAAGCCAGAAAGCTTGGGACTGCCATCTCATGGAGATGGAGCCTATATCTCTTGAGGTAGGCTTTTGTTGCCAAAGATTGAGCACAGATTTATATATGGCTGTCGAATCGCACTCCCGATGAGTGTTCGATCAGGTTCAATTGATGTCAAAGATACTGGAAGCCCTGTTTGTAGGTAGGGCAAACAGATGTTTGAATGAGTTCTACAGTATACCCATGATGTGCTTCAAAACAGCATGCCTTGGTGTACCTTTCACTAGCCCAAGACTCAAGACAGTCAATTTGACTAGCTCAAAGGAGTATGTCCAGAACCAGATTGGTGAACCAATGGCTTCTTTCGTTAGAGACCTTGCGGCAATTCTTTGCAATTGGGGGGATTGCATCCTGAATTATGAATCCACCCACCTAGAGGGTGTTGCAACCAAGAAGAACAACTTTCTTTGGACACGCATCCTTTTCTCCCTGGACTGACCCGCCTGTTAGCCTGGCTGAGGAAACAGTGATCTTGTGCGGTGGCTCCAAAGGTGGTGCGAATGCGCTGGCTGCTGCCATCCAATGGTGCCACGATTGTTGTCATCCAATGGTATTCTTTCCTTGTCTTTGCCTTGCAAGAAAATGACCCATAATTATCTAAGGAGATCAGACGTGACATGACAATGACACCTGACATGACACAAGAGGACCCCGAAAAAGAAACCGGTGACACGGGAGAGCCCAGGTCGGTGACACAAGCACCAATTGAAGAGCCGCTGCCTTGGTTGTTCTGAACTTTTTGCTGGGTGGGTCCTGAGCATCTTTGAGCTGAGGAATGTTTTGCCCTGTCAAGAGCTGCAGGTCGTGCCTGGGCGGAAAAGACAAGCGCTAGCGCAACGTCGAATCGGTACCTCCAATTGCTTGGCATGGTTTGATTAAGCCTGCTGCTCGCTCTTGGTGAACCAACCCTAAAACTCCAGGGTAGAACCTGGATGGGAGCTGAGGTGACCTTTGGTGCTCCCAACATCGTTGGTCGCGGAAGTGGCAAGGCAGAAACTGCCCGAGCCCTTCAGGGGCTTCGACTCGCTGCTTGGCCGAGGTAGTCGTCAATTTGGACCCACAGCCCCACAGCCGTGCATCCAATGCCACCAGAATCTTTGCTCTCAGTCAAGGAACATGTGAGTCGAAAAAAAAAACCGGGAATATGTATTAAGTAAGGAATGTTCCCAGAGGTTCAGAAATCGCTTGGCCACCGCTTGGTATTCTGGTGTTTAAAGTGGGTATGTTACCTCGTCGCGCTAGCAAACGCAGGGTTGCGCTAGGTTCGCGCTAGGTTTGGCGCTAGGATCAAGTACTTAGGTAACTTAGAAAAGATTAACAAACAAGAGCTGATTGTAATGGTCACTCATTGGTGCACATACACACACACACACACCCGCACAGGCACAAGAGCAGCAACTGTTTGAAAGGCAGCGCGCGCTGAAAAAGGCAGCAACTGTTTGTAAGGGAGTAACTGTTTGAGAGACGAGAAAGCGAGTTCTTGATCACAGCGTTTGGTGGCCTCATGCACTGGCAGGGAAGCGCGCTAGATCCGCGCTAGACCCGCACTAGATCCGCGCTAGACCCCTTTGCAACTTTGACCACTTGTCCAAGTGCTTTCCAGGGTGTATAGTCTTGGCAATTTGTTTCTGTGTGCAAGAGGATGGCTACTTTCAGCTTCACATTTGGAACCATTGGACTCTGTAAGTAAGAACGCAGGTGTTAAAAGGGCACACACAACATACAACCATATACATGAGCTCATGTTGGGTACATGATGGCCACCGCTTGGAATTACTGTGATTTCAACCTAGGATAATGATTTTAGAACGGGTTTTCTTTTTCAACTCATGTGAACATGTGCATCGTTTGCACATGTTTGCACAGTGCATAAGAGTACATAGCCCATCCTGTGGGGATGGGGATTCATCATCTGCAGTTGAAACAATGTTGAAGCCATAAGACTCATGGGATCCCTTACGAACCCATCCGTTGAAGCTTCAGGCCCTGGAAAGCCACGCACCGCGCTCGAGGGCATGGAGCTTTACTCAGGCCATGCCGCTGTGCCGGTGTGCTGAACAAATAAGGCGGAGAACTCTGAAGATTCTTTAACAAGAAAATCCGATAATTTGGATGGGTTCTTTAGGCCAAGACATCCATAAGTAGAAGAGTTTTCTGTTTTTGTTCAACCTCCAGAAACACGCTTTGTAGATAACCTGCGATTCCGGCGAGAACTACAGGTGCAGCTAGAGTGCAACGGGTCTTGGAACTGTGCGCTTGTTGAATGAGCCAAGCGACAGGACCCTGTGCCAGCATTGATGAGCTCAAGATCCCGGCAGGTGATTTCATACTATCACCAAGGCAAGTTTGTGGAGGAACTGGAGCTGGAATATCGGCTGAATCAGCCACTGCGGTTCCATCATACGTTGATAAGAACAATGAGAAGCGCCATCATTCCATATTTTTGGTCGGATGTGCCAAATCGTGATCATTTGCAGGCTCTCGCTATGCTATGGGCGCGCTTCGTCGTATCATGCCAGAGGTGCATGTGCAAAATGCGAACAGTGCATGCAACAGGGGTTCCAAACATATTCACGGCAGGCTTACAAGAAAGTGAACAAGTACCTGAAGGAGGCTGAAGCTTCTCTTTTGACCACCTTTGATGACAGTCTGTTACAGTTACAGTTTGTTTCTTTGTTCATGTTTGTTCAACTTCCTGCCAGGCGGTGCGTGTCACAGCCACCTTTCAGCCAGTGCTGACTGAGGAAACAGCAGTTTTTGCGCTGATGTTGTTCTGTCATGTTGTATTGATGCAGAGTTGATCTTGGCTACTTAGCGTTTGCCATCTACTCTTCTTCTCCCTGACCTCTCAAGAGACCAGATCTTATTACCATGAAGATTGAGTCAAACATTGAATGTGACGTCTTTACATGGACGTCTCTAGAACATACATGTCTCAGTAGATGTCTTACATTCCCATCCCCTTCGTTCGCCCTCCCAGGCGTGGTTAGATCCGCCGCCGGGCTTGGCCGGTGGCCCTTTCCAGGCCGCAGTACATCCACAGCGGAACTACACCGAGGCGCGAGCCACCGGTGGGGCGGTGATCGTGAGTCGGACCGGTTCACCTCTTAGGCCGGCGCCTAGGGCCTAGGCTGGCGCCAGCTACATCAGTTTGCGCAAACCTGGCCATTTGGGGCCCTATTGCCAGGAACTTCCCAGTTTAGCTTCTTGTTACTAGTAGTAATGCCAGGAGCTACTAGTAGCGTCCTTGCTCCTAGGTTTCTAGTAGCTTATTGTTCCTTGGGTTGTTCATGTTTGTTGTGTCGGAGGGAAACCCATGTTCATCGCGGGTGCCTTTCGGAAGCTCCCAGGGGGATTCCAGAGCGGATCAGCAAGATTTAAGATACAAGATGATTTAGATACAAGATGATACATACATTTTAGATTTAGCTCCATGGAGTTGGGAGACCGTGTTCTTCCTGGGTTTCCTGGACTGTCATGATGGTCATGGTTTGCCGCAGGCTCTTTGCCGGCGCCTTCTGCACTTCTGAGCGAAAAAGTTGCGACAGCGGTGTGGGAACGGCCGTGGGGCCGGGTGGGTCAATGGCGGTGTTTTTTCCGACCTCGCAGAGGCATGCTGCCTGTGAGCTTGGGTGCATGCCCAGGCAAGTGACCGTGCTTTGGTACAGCCCCATGAGAACAGATTTGTTATGATTTGTTCTTTTTGTGGCAGAGCCAGTAACATGTTGTTGTTGTTTGTGTCTTACATGTTTGCCAGACCCTAGACGTGTTGGCTATGATCTGTTTTCAGTGCAATTTCGCTGGTTCTTATCCATTGGGCTAGGAGTTGAGACCTTTCCAGTCTCCAGATCGGCAGTCCAATTCTGAGACTCGATTTGATGTTGCTTCCAGTGCAAGCCACTGTTTGTGTTATGTAACGTATATACAAATATATACATGTGACATGTGCCTTGCTGGCTGCACTTCTTGGTCCCCTGCTAGTGAAACATGCTTGAGGGGCGGAAGTACAGCTGGTCTGTTGATATATATATATATAATAGTTTGGGCCGCCAGCATGTCCAAAGAGCGCCGCGCAGGAACTGCCAAAGTTTTATTGGAACCTTTCGGCACATCCAGCGCACTACTGTACATTCAAAGATATTCTTTGGGAGTTGTGGCCTTTTTCTTCTTAATCGCCTGAAACAAGGTGCGGCCTCTTGCCCCAAAGCGTCCGACGTCCTTTGGCTCGGGTCACCAAGACGCTCATGGTGTGCTCCAAAGCTCGCATGTTCTATAGTTTTTGCGCGAACGTGTCAGAAGTGTCATTGAATGCATTAGGAATGGCTGAAACTGCTTGGTGTGACTGGAGGGATTCCTTTCTATCGCTTTTGAACGTGTGACCCAGCAGATGTGCTGTATGGGTCAGGCCTTCCTAGCAAAGCTGCAGCGGTACGTGTGGCATGTGTAGCTTCTGTCCTGGCTGTTGGTGCCGGAAGGAGTGCTTATGTGTGATGCATCTTGTGGGCAAGTCATTACAGCTCAGCAGTTCATGTCTCACAGTGATGTTTTGTGGTTGATGCCATGCTTTTCTTTGTGAGTTGAATGATCCTTGTGGGCAGCTTTGAGGCCGAGTGCATTTGTGTTTACGGAGCATTCTACTCAAACATGAGCTGTGTGTTAGGAGGAGATCTAGAGGGAGGGTGCAGTTGCACCCGTTCCGCAGAGATCTCACTCTGGATGGATACCCCATTCACGGCAATGGCCCTGCACTCAATGAAACTTTGTGATGAATGTGTGATGTCAATTGTTTGTTTTTTTGTCGGGACGTGTGGCTCATTGCATCAAGGCAAGCGCTTTTCACGATTCATTCAATATCTGCTCCTGGCTCCAGCCATTCTCAGATTCCCCAGGTTACTACTGGACTCTCTCAAAGTGCACCGAGGCGCAGCCTGTTGGAGTGGCTTTCTTGTTCGAACTATGTCGATTTAAGTCTTGAGAACCTCTTCTGAAACTTTTCAGGGGCAAGAGGAACCCAAATAGGCAATATCAACACGCGGCTGTCAAAGACAGTGTCACGATGAGACTGCGAGTTGTCGATAAATGTTCCAATTCTTCAGATTGCCTTTTGTTTTCTCATGAGTCTCTTGCCAAGATTATATTACATGAGCTCCTGTGTTTGTACAAGTGCCCATCAAAGGCTTGTTTAATCTTGTTTACAATGATCTGATATATATATATATAATAATGAACGCTGAAACACAGCACATCTCAGCAACAGGCTGTCATCATTTACATTCCCATCGCTGACGATGTGAAGAAGAAGGATTTGGATCAAACATGGCATGTGAAAAGGATAATCGAAGAGCGACGGTAATTTGTAGAAATACAAGGAAATACATAAGGGTGTTTGAAGTCTGAGTCTAAGTCAAAGCGCTTAAGCCTGAAAGCGTAACGGTCAGCAAGTGGAAGCTTAGTCCACGAGTGTGGGACTCACACAATGGACATCCAGTCAATGCAAAATGGAAAGACATCATTTTGAAAAGGAACATGTTCCAACGGAGTTGTGGTTGTGGAGACAACAAGGTTGTGGAGACAGCAACCTTCCGCTGGCACACTACCATTCTGTCATGCAAGTCAGGATTCTATCATCACAACCATTGATCGATTTAATGTGTATATAATATATAGTTACAGTACAGTATATATTCGCACAACAAACATACCATCACTTTATCGAGCGAGACAGCAATGTAGCTTGTTTTTTTCTGTCATTGTTGAATTTAGACTGCTATATATAGACTATAGTAGGCGCAAAAGTAATGATCGTGCAGCACCAGTCTTCCATCTCATGAGGATGTGATTTTCGATTGTCGGGAAGGGACCCTGAAGCACGGAGGCTCAAGTCTGACAGATGCTCAGGTCGGAGACGCGGAGCTTCTGTGATCACTTGAAATGTGTTTCATTACAAGTTCCCTAAACATCCAGGAACCAAATGAGTAGTGTGAGCATGTGTGAGCTATCCTGCGTCCAGTAGCTAGTACGTAGCTATATACTTGCAGGTAGTAGCTACCTCTTCTGCTAGCTACCTACCTAGCGAATCTACCTCTACTCGCGGCCTACCCCCCCGGGCTTTGCTGTATATGGCAGTATCAAAATAGGGAGACCCCCAGAGATCCTCTGGAAGAAGGAAATTAGAGTAAACAAAGGAACCATTGATATGAGAGCACCGTATTGAACTATTGTGACATATTCCGTATTGCAACTTCCCGGGTTCCCCAAGTTAGTACGGCTCTGTGTTGATAGGGCTGCTAGTGACGGTTAGTGTATGCAGACAGAAAGCTCTTATGGCACTTACCTGTAAAGAAAGATCCTTTGATGCGTTGAATAAGAGCTTGCAATGTAAGGAAGGTCAGGGCCGACCACAGCTAGCTTTCAGCTGCAGCTTGATCAACGGCATCAGTCAAGCCTTTTGCCTGGCAAGCCAGATACTCCTGCGCCCAGGGCTGGATTGGTGCCAGAGAAGGGAGGGCTGGTGATCAATGACAAGGTGCGCATGAAAGCGACAGAAAGACAGCCACTGGGGCTTAGCCAGTCACGCATGGGCCTTGAATTCCGATCGCCTAATTCGATCATTGAAGCAGAGCGAATCTTTGCGACCTCGTGGCCTACTAATATTATTCAGCGGCTGTGGCGAACGCCTGTGTGCGCTTCTGCTGAAAATGGAACAAGTTGATGGCGCAGCTCAGATTGGACTGCTGCGAAGTGTATGGTGGGTCTTGTGATTGGTATAGCCGTCGAGTAATCAACAGTACGTCCTGGACAGGATTGCTAGGACCTCTAAAACTGTATAAAAAATCAGTGATTGTTCTGTCCAAACCAAAGACACCGTATCCCAGCAGCTGCAGGAAAGGTAGCATCAGCTATCTCAGTTCACCATGCTTTTGCATACAATAGGGTACGAGTTGTCCGAAAAGATTTGATCTATATGAGGCTTCAAATTTGACGTTCCGAAAAGATTTGCACATTGCAATCAGCATATCTCTCAGCCCCTTTGATCCCAGCATTTAGGATCGGCACGTTCCTTGTTTGATGCCACCTCTCGTTCACCTTTCTTGCAAGCCTGCCACCATCTTGTCAAGAAATAGCAGAATGGATGGAAGCAATCGCGCCAACTAGGTAGAGAGTTGATGTGGCTGTGTAGAAAGTAGCAAGAAGCTACTAATTAAGGGCTTCTGGCATCGCTACTAGGAGCAAGGACGCTACTAGGGGCTCCTGGCCTTGCTACTAGAAGTATTCTTACTACTAGGAACAAGAAGCTACTAGTAGCAACACCTCAATAGACGGACAGGTGATAGGTGATCCTCAAGGTCGCCATAACCCTGCAGCTTGAACAAACAAAGAGGGACCCAAGAGCGACAACATCCAAGTTGATGTGTTTGTATGTCCTTCAATACAGTACAATTGGGATCAATTATGTACAATTAGTATAACTATATTTGGCTGAACCTGGCAGGTTTTGTATGAGGTTGATGTCTCTGACTCGTGCGCCCGCGGCGCATCCGCGCATCGGCCCACATTCATGTTGACCACTTAAACTTTCTCATCCTCCCATTCTTATAGATCAGTGGCCAGCGACACCAGCATCTAGGTGGCAACCATGCTGTTTCAGCACCATGACATGAGAAACATGACTGTACAGCCTCCACCAGGTACTTTACTCTGGATGATGGCGAGTATGGTGAACGTTGCATCGTGATTTGGTTGGAGAAGCGCACCAGGGAGCAGAACTGGTGCATCCCCTAGGCTTCAAAGCTTCACGGATTCTGTGTTTGGCCAAAAGGTCTGTCAAATTTCAGGCTGCCGTCCGAATTGCTGTCACAGTGTTTAGTATTGACGCTCTTGGCTGCTTCTTGTCCTTGGCTTACACAGCTGATACTTGACATGAACACATTCACCAACACATGATATAGGTGTTCCTTCTATTGAGGTACGCCTACGATCGATTTGAGCCCGTGAGCGAACGTTTCTTGCTCGAGGGTGAAAAGAAGAAGGCAGTTCGGTCCTCATTCCTCAGCCGTCTCAGCTGCTATCAGCCTTGGAAGGGAAAGATGAGTCGAAATGCTGAGACAGCGCGTCAACCAGAGACATCTGGAATCTGGACCATCCATTTTTGGACAGAACTTGCTTGCAAGATCAGCATTTCGACAGCTGCCACAACACGTTGCATTCGCTTATTTAACCTTACATGATGCAAGAATAAGATGGCTGCAAAAAGGTATTACATAATCACCTGCTGATTTCGCAGTATGGAAAGTTATATAGTGTGTTCCTCCTTCTACTGATTCCCATCAAGTTTCACTCGAGGAGCTCAAGTTTGAGATCACTCAAAAATGCTTTTTTGACGTCGAGATTGATGAGAAGAAGATGGGACGCATTGCCGCTAGCTCAGAAAAAGAAAGCATGAATGTCTTCACTGCTGTGGGCTTTTGCGTTGCGCAGTCTGCACAGTGAAAGAGAACATGCGATGAGCATCGATGAACAACGATGAGGTCTTTGGTCTGTATGGTGACATCATGCCCCGGACAGCTGGAATCTCGTTTCACCAGGGGCAGACGGGGCAGACATTGTGACATCAGTAGATATCGGTGCGTGTTCGAGCAAGTCAAGCTCGCCATGTAAAGCAGTCAGGGTATGCATCTGAGAAAAAAATCTGACTGTTTTGCTTCCACAGCGGTGCCTCGACTCAAGCGCTGAGACCAGCGACTGTGCAGGTCGAAAATTTCAAGTGCCTTTGCACCGGCGAGAAGGTGTGCTGTATGCTTTGCTCGGTCAAGTTTGGCTCTGACCATTGTCGACTGGGATTGCTTGGCAAATATTCTGCACTGCAAAAAAATCCATGTGTTGGTAACTGATTTGTCAGTGAACAGCCAAATCATCATACTGTAGTTGTTCCATGTTGTTCCCCAAACAGCCACTTTTGGTCAACATAATCTTAGCTTTGTGGGGTTGCAGGTATCAATCAGAGGCTACGCTTCACATACATTGAAAATTGCTTCGACATCTTGAGCCGACCAGGGAACAAGTGAAAGCACCGGCGAGCCACTTCATTACAAAGGAACGAGGCAGGGATCCACTGGGTTTGGCTGCAGGATTGCACCATGTTGGGACAAGAAAACATGTATAATATCACCTGCGACCTCTAGCTGGTACGGCTTCTGTAGCCATGAGTATTTATTTTGGCGATTGCTCGAGTATTCCCTGAACGCGTTCTTTTATATAAGTTGAGCCTTGCTAATTGCTGAATTGGATGGACATTGCACCTTTGTCAATTCCTTTGAATGGGTGTGTTGTGAAATCCAAAAGGGGTCTCATTTAGGATTTAGGAAGGATACCCTGCTGTTTACAACTTTTGAATACTTTTGATATAAGTTTAAAGACCTAAAGACAGTAGGAACCTTAGGGATTAGAACTTACACAACACGATTGCTGTTGCTGGTTCTAAGCAATTTGGAGGAGCAGGGCATGGGTCTTCGTCACTCATCCTCGGTCCTTAGGACAAGCATAGCACAGCAGCCCTCTCTGTACACAAGTAGTTTGTCCGAAAATATTTGAGCATTGAACCATTTTCGCATCTTGAGGCAGATTCACCCAACGGTCCTAGCACTGAAACTTGGAGCTGTTTTGAAGCCAACCAACTGTTTTGGCTTGGCTGTTGCTCTTGAGGGTCTGCTCATACTCTGAGCATCTGAACGCTTCGCCGTGAACGCTTGCATCAGGTTTCACCGCGTGATCCCTGGCTTTTGCATTCAGGCGCTGGATTTGATTCTAGTGAAACGAATTCAGAGGTCCAACTGCCTTTTGCATTAGTGAGCTTTTGTGTGAAATGGCTCCAGGGCGGTCAAACCTTTGAGAATGAAGAGGGATCCGGTGGAGAATCCATTTACGGGCCAACCTTCGAAGATGAGGCTTGTGGTGTTGCTTGTATCTTGCAGACATTTAATGGTCCATATATGTGGCTGGCGGAGAATCCATTTCACTATATTTTTACAATATATTTGTATACATATTCAAACTGTATTTTCACATTGCGTCCATTATCCATCACTATATGTTTAATTGTCCTACCCGTTTGACCGTTGCTGCATTGTGCTGCACATCATGGTCCAAAGGCAAGGCCGCAGGATTCGAAGTAAGCTGAAGGCATTGAACGTGTGATGCTAACGGGTGGATTGCCATTGCTGTGCCATGTGTCCTCGCAGAGCTTGGCAGAACTTGCGGATGAAGTTCACGAACAAGGGCCTCATCGCCATGGCGAATGGAGGACCTAATACCAACGGCTCCCAGTTCTTCATCACTACGGCCAAGGCGCCATTGGAACACTGGGTACCCTCATTCGAGTCTGAAAGGATGGAGAAGAAAATAGAAGTCGAGCTGAAGTAGATTTGAATTGAATGAAAATAGAAGTAAGATTTGAAGAAGTAGAAGTAGAATTGACTTGAAAACTCTATCATTGATGACCGTAAACGTTGCATTTGACAGTTTTTGACAAAGGTAGCTGTTGTTTTTGACAGTTTAGGAGTTCTCAGCGACTGAAAAAGAAAGAAGTCTGACACGCTTTGCGAGTCCGGGTTCTTCACTTCCTGGACTCCAATAGCCCAACCTGACAGGCAGAGCATTTGAATTTCAAGTCTGTGGGCTTTGGCGAGGCAGTCAGATGTTCATGTCAATCTGCTATCAGACCAGCGAAATGTGTTGTCTTTAAAAAAACGGCGGACTTCTTTCTTCCAGCTCAACTTCCAAAACAGAGTGAACTAGTATATAACATTATATAACTATGACACGAGACGCGTTCTATTGGTCCACGCTGACAATTCAGCAACTTTCGACCAAAAAGCTTCGAAATGTTTCAATGTTTCCTTTTTTCAATCTCTTGCAGCCTTGATCCAAATTTCGTTCGACAGCTACCGTGGACACATGTTTGTCAGGTTTTGGACGGCTATGAAGTCGTACAAGCAATCGAGTCCCTCGGTACCTTCCCAAGAGTATCAGGTGGATGTTGTGTCAGCGATGTGGCCGGAGCTACTGGTGCACTGTGCTACACCTATGGTTCAAAACTTAAATAACAACTCTGACAGCCTTGACAGGGGCAACCGGTTCCCCTTGTGGTTGAACGCATTACTTGAACTGCCCAGAGTTTGAAGCTTAAAATGGAATCTCTTGTACAGTCTCTATAATTCTTAAGAATTTCACGTACCTCGTAGCAGACACTACTTCATTGCATTGTTAGAACGGGACACACACACAAAAGAAAATGACATGCTGAGGAACAGTCGATGGAGAGCCAGAGGAAAACGCCGTGTGGTGCTTGTGACCACTGGGTCAACCAGTTGGACAGAAAGGGGGGCATCCTCGCTTGCGTACATGCAGAACATATACATACACCGTGGTACATATAGTTGTATAAGACATACACAGGTGTATTGACACAAAATGGTTCATTCAATTCAGAATCTACTAAAGCCTGTGGTCTAAACTTCGCGCGACCTTTAGATGCGACGGAATGTGGCTAATCTTTGTCATAAACATTTCTTACGTAGTATGACCTGTCAAGAAACTCAGGAGATTCAGGGGCTAGACTGCCAGATTGCTTGACAATTGCTTGGCATGTCCTGAATGCATTTGAATGCAGCAATTCATACCAGTGCGGCAGATCCACCCAGGTCATTGTAGATTGTGGCACCATGGATTTCGATCCTGGCGAAAAGGAGCACCATGGCAAGTCATAGAAGCTGAGATTGATTGTTTTTGGAGTGCACCATGCGAATCTCTGAATTGAATGCGGCTGCTAGACATATTAGACATGATGCGAGCTTTGCCAGTCACTATGTCATTTGATTCTTTTTTAAATTGCCTTTTTATATAAGTCTTGAAGTGTTTTGATTGTGTCCTAAGCGGATTGAAGAAGCCACGCGGTGCGTGTTTGTCGTGCTGGGCGGTGCTCGTGCTCGCAGGAGCGGCTGCGGCTCCGCAGTGTGAAGGCACGGGGAGCCGCTGCGGTATGAGCGATGGGAGGTTTGGTGGTCGGTTTGATCAACAATCATTCAGCCTCAGCGGTCGATAGTCAAAGCATGGAAGGCAGTGAAAACTGCTGACTGGCCGCTTACGATTGAACTAAAGCTCGGGAGGCACCAGCTCTTGATGTGCATTCCTGGCGCTCAGGGAGGAATTGATTTGACCTTGCGAAATGAGATGCTTGAACGGGCTTCGGGACCCAGCACTGTGTTGAAACATGCCATAACAATCGTGTTCAAAGTGAAAGAGTACCAGAGTACATGACATGATCCCAAGATCTAGTTGCTCGGGAGTGTTGCTGAGGTGCGCGGCGCCGCCCGGAAAGGGGTCTTGTGAGTGGTCAAAGCAGACTCATTTGGGTGTGGGTCAAAGCTGTTTGTACTCAGCAGGCACAGATATATGGTGAGAATCGAACTATTGGAGATGTTCTTTGACCCACAGCCACATGGGTGTTCGAAACGCTGGAAGTAAGAGCAGAGGCGTGAGGCATTCTTTGCCATCTCATTTAAGACTCTGGAAACCAGAGCTTTGGGAGCTGCTTCAAAGAGACTGGCTGGACTCTATGTGCTTGCCAAGACTCCATATTTGACAGCGTGACTGAATGAACACTCATTTGGTGAGAAAGACAAGCGTGCTGGTTGTTACATGCCGTTTGGTATGCTTGCTTTGCCTTTGCATTATATGTTGGCTTTATGTCGGAGTTCCGGACCCTCCAGCCACCAGCAAAGAAGGGGCAAAGTTGGCCCACTGGTTGAGGGACCACGAGGGACGAAATTCTTTGGACCCACCCAATGAAGACGTGGCTTTCACGGTCCCTGCGTTTGCAACTGACCCGATCTCAGGGAGCAAAGTTGGCGTCCTCGAGCGGCCTGGGATGTTGCTTTAAGATGAACAAATGTGTGTCGAACCGCATCATCAAATCACTGCAGAAATTTGGTTGCTTTCCTTTTCTGTCAGCACTTTGCTTCCCTTCCCCGTTGAGCCCAGCCCAATAAGGTACTGCACCTTTTACTGGAAGCGCAACTGGCAACACGCACAAGAAGGTGCTCCTTTTTGTAGCAATCCGCTCCCAACCCAAAGTCACAACCTCAAGCTATGCCAAGCAAGCTCTGCCAAGCATGTGATGATTTGTTGTGCATTGGCCATTGGCTCACAGTTCCCGGAAGGGAGGATTGTTGTGACCCACGGAGAACAGTGAACAGCCCAAGGAGATGCGGAGGGGTTGGCTTGTGAAACCAAACTGCGTGGAGAGGTGATTGAGCAATGATATGAAATATATTGGCTTGATATCAAGATGAAGTGAGCATCCGACAGAATCTCCGAAGATCCTATGTCCTTAGGCTTGGTTGATACAAGATTGCGTCCGGTACTAGAATATGAAATGCATAAGAAGTATAAGAAGTCATTCCGCAATGGACAATCATGCAGGGTGGGCAATGTTGGGCTGCACCAAATCCTTGTCATCAGAGCTTAGGTTGTACCGGATTGCCACCAGAGATCAGGAAAGCCGTGCACTGACTATACAATTCCACAAAAAAATGGGAGCCAATAGACAATAGGAATAATTGCTGTGTGGCGCAATCAGTCTCCAACAAAGTGACAAACCTCAAAGGATTTCCTGTAGTTACTCGTGTTTTTCCTGGGAGGATCACTGGCACAGCATGGCTTTGCGAAGTGCTCGTATCCTTCGAATGGCCAGTGAAGCCACAGGTGGGTGACTCGGGTGCCGAACTTGTTTTCACCATGGATCATGGGTTTCATGGAGGAAGTCCACTTGCATGAATTCCCAACATATTTCTCCAATGAATGCTGGTGATCACGAATAGAGATGGTTGCCACATCTACAGTTTGATGTCATTTGCCTGGGCTAAGGTGTGACCAACAGGCTGCTCTTGACTCTGACATCCCCTGGAGAGGACGCCAGTTTCATGCCTTTCGCATCCTTTCGTTGTTGTTTCATGTTGTTTCATGTTTTAGATTTGTCGGTTTATCTTGGCTGAAGAGCAAGGCCATGTCAGCTCTTTGCCAACCAAACTTGTGCCACAGAAGCACAGGCCATTTGTGTCAAGAAGCCAGTGGACAGTGTCACCGTGCCCGGAACGGAGGCCAAATGCTTGACTTTGGAGTCTTTAGAGATAATTAGAGGACAAAACAAAGATCTAGGACTTTGCTGGTAGCTTTCTGTATCACCTTGGAAGACAAACCAGGGTTGCATATGGTTGCATGGTGGTAAGCAGATGGCGCTTTTGTCAACCAGGGCGTTTTCACCGTCACCAACAACCACTCGCTGATTGTCTCCCAGCTCAAAGCTGGCGTCATCAATGTGAGAGATGGCTCGGAGATGAAGGAGATCAAATAAGATGGCCGTCTGTGGAATTTGCACAGGGATGATATTGACCAGCTCGCAGTGTTTGGGTGCATTATTAGATATTACTGTATTGGCATGGTGAGACGAGAGGACGAGACACCCAATTCATCCCAATTCCTTTTTTCTCCTTTTGCTTTATGTGCACAACTGGTGTCTCAATGGGCCATGGACAGACTGGTCCGTCAGTTTGGGCGTGCTTTGGAGGTACTTCAACTAACTGATTGATTGATTGATTGATTGAGAAGATTGATTGAAGGATTTTGAGATTTTGAAGATTCCTCCAGTTGGACATTGTTCGTAACAGAGAGGACTAATGCCTCCATAGACTAGTTCGGTCCATCCGCTTGGAGGACTACTTCATCTCGGATGGCTTCCTGTTCTTCAATCATCCCACTGATGGCTCTGGCTGCTGCACTGCAGAGGCGCTGTCGGTTGAAGAACAGCAAATGACATGGCTCTTTCGTTTTCTGTGCTCTTTGTACTCAAATCAGCCACCGCGACTTTATGAGAGAGTGATATCCTCAAAAGAAACATACAACATGGTCATGAGACTGCCACAATTCTATATAAAGGTCACACGCATGTCAGACACTTCATAGGCAAGAAACATCAAAGTTCATCACGCAATTTGAAGCAAGAAACATCAAAGTTTGTCAGACACTTCGTAATTAGGCAATAACTATCAGCTCTTTTTTAGACAAACCTGTTGAACTGGTTGGTACTGGTTCATGTTACGAACCAAGTAAATGGCTTTGATGCGCTCCCATGTTGAAAGAACATAGATTCAACAAGCGATCTCAGTAAATTCTCAACGTTCATAGTTCAGTTCGACCGTTCATTTCATGGGAATGTACGATGCCATATGTAATTACTTCATAGGTGGCAGTACTGTACTGAAATATTTTAAAAAATAAGTACACATGGATATTATTTCAAACAGGGAGTGGTGGTGGGGGTCAAAATAATGTTGCTAGTGGTTGAGTGTGGAATGACTTGTTCGTGACGCTTTCTATGAATCTCCCGGTAAATCCCCAGGAATACCACCCACCCCCATGTTCCTAGTTGTATGATGTTGACAAGATCCTTGAAAGTTCAAGGAATTTTATTTTAGGAGAAGCGAACTGAAGAGGGCAGTCCCTATGTGGTGGGAGTTCACGTGGATTGGGGGATTAGGGCAGGAGAGAGAAAAGTTTCAGCGGGCAAGCGGTGGAGGCGGAAGGTCCTGAATAGCTTTAGGGGCGCTCTCTTTATTCGTAGCAAGGTCTAGTTGCTGGACTGAAGAGGGCGCCCCACATGGGGTGCATGATGTCAACTGTTGAGGGCCTGCGAGAGAACCGGACTGAAGAGGGCACTCCCTATGTGGTGGGGTTGGGGGCAGGAGAGAGAAGAGATTGCAGCGGGCAAGCCTTGGAGACAGAAGGTTGTGAATAGCTTAGGGGTGCCCTGTTTTATCTGTAGCAAGGTCTGGTTGCTGGACTGAAAATAGTTCTTTATTGTTTTGGTAGGTGGTGGACGGTACCACCCAACTATGGTATCATACATTCGTGGGATGTCCTTCAGTGAGGCGGAACAGGTGCCGGTCGTCACGAGACTGACAGGTGGCCGGTGTTGAGATTGTCCCTACCTCCGCGCTGGACAAGGTGGGTGAAACCGAGCTGTTTTTTTTTTGAGCGATTGCTGTTCTGTGTGAGGTTCGGAACACCTTGTTTCAGCCATGAAACAAAAGAATCATACCATACTTGGTCAGATGAAGTGTTTTAGCGTACTTGGGCATCAGAATCTTATAGAATCTTGATAAGCTGGTTACAAGCTTTTGTGCAATCTAAGTGCGTTGTCATAGGATATCATTTGCACTTGATGGCTGACTGTTGATCCTAAAGGTGTCCTTTCATTGTTGAATGAACACATCATGCGGCGCTTCGCCATGAATCTGTTCTTGTTTTTCAAGGCCTGGATTATCCTTGATTCTTTTTTGGTTTCATGTTTTGCGGTGACGGGAGACGAGTTTGTGGTGTTTCCGTGATTTGTTGGGTTCGCTGGATAGTCCAAGTCAAGGGGTCCGTGGTCCGCACTCAATTTTTCGAATTCCAACTAGAAACAAACGAGGCGTCCAGATTGTCCATAGGGCCCGAAGAGCTTCGAAACTGGAAAGTTGCCTGGGATCCTGCTATATATATGACTCTGACCCTCTATTAGACTATATTAGGCCCGTATCAAAAAAAGGTAAATATTAATATACAATATACAAAAACTGAAAAACACCTGCAAATGGAAGGACTTCCCTTTCCCCAATGAAGGTGACTGCTGGGTAGCTAATTTAAAAGGTATGCCCAAAACATGCTTAGGGGGGGCATTCTAGTATTCAGAAATGAAGTAAACCATTGCTGCATTGAGTGGTTTCCGATCTGGAGTTGTTTGAAATTTGTTCAGGCTTTTTATACACCAAATTGCCAAAGCGGATGGATTTGAGGCCACCCTAGTAGAAGGGACCCTTGAGTCAAGGACAGTTCCGTATGCCCAGTTTAGAGCCAAGCGCTGGCATTTTCGGACTGGGCTTGGTTTGCAAACGTGGCACGCGGCACCGACATGTGTTGGGCTATCCCCGACATAGTAAGGTTCCAAAACAAACATCAGTATTTTGGTAGTGACAGGAATTCGGGGGAGTGAACCTGAAGTCAACGGTGCTGACCACCGCTGTTCGCTCTAGGACCGCGCCACTCAAGTGCTTTCAGAGCTGATGGCAGCGCCCAAGGAAGCTTGCGTTCGGGTGAATCGCTGCACCCGGACTCGTTTTGCTTGAAGGAGTCCTCTCCAAACTTAAGAAGACTAAGATATTCTTGGCCGTCAAAGCATGACAGCATATGTGATCCTTAGCATCACTTGGCGTAATCAGCCCTGGATCAGAGCATGCTAGGATATCCCATGAACCAGACCTAGTTTGGTGGTTTCCCAGGACAATGAGTGGGATCGTGCAAAAGCGCAGTTGGGGGCTGCACTCGTGAATCAGGTCATTAAGGCGTGGAGAATACTTGGCAAATGCTGGAACAAGCCTCTTTGGAATCATGGCAACCTCAATGTTTTTGAGAGATCTACAGTACATTATATAATCGAACTCTTTAACTTTAACCTACTGTAAAATCGGGTTGATTACTGACAGTAGTTTATTATTTGTATGGTTTCAGAGGCCCGGAGACTTTTAGGTTTATAATTGGCAGGTGGCTTACCGTTGTGATGTGACAATGTGAACAGGATTTGTGTGTCCTTTGTTCGTACTTTGGCATAAAGAGGAAGACATTCGACATGCTGTTCTGTAGTTTTGACAGTCTTGAACAATTATAGCTTTTGCGGTTTTTGGATTTTTTTTTGTTTGCTTTACTTTCACATGTTTGAGTCTTGAGGCTGCGGAGTGAGTATGGATTGGCACGTGAGGGCCGCCTCATGGAATCATTTTGTAAACATAGGAAACGTTGGAAACTGAAGGTCTGGGCAGAGACATGATACTGAACCTCCTTAAAAAAGAAAAAAGACAAAACAATGCAACCCGCAATTTCGGAACAGCATCTAGAAACACACTCTACGATTATTTTTTTTTATAGATGGGCCTCGTGGAATGCTAGCTGATTTTGAAGAAGATGCTCAGATGGCTGATGGACACTAGGAAGGCCCAATTGCCCGGCAAAAGTATTGGTGAGCGCTGCTTTGCTTCAGTGCTGTCATGCCGGCAGCAGACCTGGTTGAATCAAGGTCCTCAACAAGGCGTTCCCCAGCCTTTTCCAATACAGCTTCGGAGATTTACATAATATGAAACATGTTAACTTTGGCAGCACAAAACACATGACTGACGTGGCAAACATGGAAGCAGTGGTGTCAAGGATCTATTGGTTCAAGAGCTCATTTTGCTTGACTTGTACATTGTACATGCCATCACAATATAGCATTTGGCTCAACATGTTTGTGCTGAAGAGGAGTATGACATCATGTTATCAAAAAAAAACTGCAGCATCGCATGGCCTTGCAACGGGCAAAGGTGCTGAAATGGGCATGCATTGCCTGAAAGAAACTAAAAGCAAGAGCATTTGCATCTCACAGGAACAGCCGAGAAACTACTTAGATTGGAGCCTTGATGGAAGCGCAGAGCCTTGATGGGGATCCAAGGCTTGCTTCCCTTCCTGAAGTCCTATGTCAAGAAGAAGCACATCGAGGAGTTTCATGGAACAACCATTGGGGTTGATGCAATGTGCTGGATGCACAAGGGTGCATATGCCTGCTCTCGAGAACTCGTCATAGGCCAAGACACAGACAAATTTGTTCGATTCTTCTTGAAGATGTGCGAGCTCTTGCGATACTACCGGATCAAGTAGCTCGCTCGCAGGGCATTTATCCCTCGGGGTGGTGAGACAAGATGTCTGCTTTCCAGAACATGTTTACGGTAAGCACGTACACCTGCAGAAATGGTGTGCATGCAATGTTCATCAATTCAATTTACAGCACAGAAGAGGTGCTTCAAACAATCCAGTTATATACAGCACATTTCTGCTTCGATTCTGCACATGCAAATGCACACTATTTGATTCCCTTTGTTTCTGAGGCCCATCATTGTCTTTGACGGGGAGAAGTTACCTGCCAAGGCCAAGGAGGATCAGAGACGTAACCAAGTCCGTGAAGAATCACGGCTAAAAGCCTTGGAGCTCATGCAACGCAAGGAGCCCAACCACTTGGCAGAATTGTGACGAAGAGTCAGCAGAGCAGATGAAAGTCTTCGATTTGCACACATGTTGTTGGAGAGATTTTGAGTGGGGATGTTGGAGTGACAACACATGTCTTGTATAGGATGCTCGATCGTCTTTGACGGGTCGGGAGCCGAGCCTTCAGATGCCTTCAGGAGTCCGGTGAAGCCGTGGAGGAGCGAGAAGTGGCCAGCAAGTGACCAGCCCAGCAGACAAAGCGACAGACAACGCGGCAGACGGTGCTTGCTTTTGTGATACGAAGCGCTGATGTTATAGAAATCTTTCATTGGAGAGAGCCTGTTTTCCAAATTTAAAACAGTCCAAAAAAGAAGTCAATGAGTCAATCCCAAAAGTCAAAGTCAAAAAACAGTCAAATCAGACAGTATCAGAAAGTCACAAAAAAGTCATTTTGCCCAGATCCGACTTTTTTTGACATGTTTTTCGACCTCTTTTTTGACTCTTTTCGATTTGTTTTTACTTTTTCCGAGTGGTTGACTTTTTTGATTTGTGTTTTTTACTTTTTCGAGTTGTTTTGTTTTTTGAATTTGACATTTTTTTAAATATGTTTTTTGTTTTTCGACTGTTTTTGACGTTTTTTTAAGTGTTTTTTCGAGCTGTGGTCTATGGTTGACTTTTTTTCCGACTTTTTTTCGATGTTTTTTTTTTGACTTTTCGATTTGACTTTTTTGATTTTTTTTAATCAAGGATTCTGGCCTTACCATAATATGAAAGTGTTTTATATCGCTGATGGTCATGTAAGCTGAGCTGTAAATGTCGAGTTTGAACACGAAGACTGGGACATGTCTAAGTGGCAGATCTAAGGTGTGAGATGGCCATCAAGGTGACCAGCTCGATGATTTCCAGGTTGCAAAGTGCATTGAAGGAGCTGTCCATTGACTTTCTCGTAGCTCCGTGATTTGGCAAGGGTACAGCGAACAGTTTGTTTTTGTTTTTTTGTTTTTCCGAAGAGGTCTTCGCTCGTCATTGCTTTTGCATGCCACTCTTAACATCTCTTAACTTGTTGTCACCGTCATTTGAAGTTGCTGTTGTTTGATGATGTTGATGTAATTAAGGGTATGTCGACTGTTCAGAAGCACTTGTGCCGGCATGAGCCCACCGGTCAAGTGGATTGATGCTAAGCACCTGGATTCGTGCCACTGCCCTTGCAGGTACGAGGCCGATGCCCAGTTGGCGTACATGTGTAGACAGGGTTGGATCACCACTGCCATTTCTGAAGATAGCGATTTATTGGCCTACGGATGTCCATCCACCTTCTTCAAAATGGACAAATATGGGAACGGCGAACACATCGCTTTGCCCTGCTTGCAAGTGGATCATGCAGGCTCGGAGGCTGACAAGCTGGACGCACCCCTCGTCCCCAAGGTGAAAAAGCCGGAGAAAGGCAAGAGGGGGAAGAAGCAATCGATTCCTTGCTTAGCAAAAAAGGACAATTTCTGTATGTGTATGTTTTCCTTTGTACCAAGTAAGCCTGCATTTAGGACCATGACTTGGGGCTTTAAGAGGGTGAGAGTGGTGCTTTTCTGCAGTTACCAAGGGCGCCAAAGGAAAAAAGTGAAGAAGGAGCTCCTGACGAGGAAGGTGAATCCAAAGCAGGAGCAGCAAAAGGAAAGAACAAAGGGGATGAGATGCAGGTACAGTCCAATCTCAACTGTTGGTCTCCAGAGAAGTTTGCAGAGTTTTGTGTTTTTTGCGGAACCGACTACAAGGAGCCTGACACGAACATCAAGAAGTTTGGTATCAAAACAGCTTTTACACTGATGTGTACCCACTCTACGGCGCGGGGTGTGATCAATTGGATGGCAGAACAGCAGAAGTTTCAGGACCGGCTCCCTTGCAAAGGCAGTGAGTACATGTCTCGTTTTGAAAGAATCATTGCTGTCTTTTGGCACCACGTAGTCTTCAATCCCAAGCGTGGAGAGTGCACCTCCATCGCGAGCTCTTTTCCTTTGACAGCAGCCTATCGCGTGTTGGAAGACTTAAATCTGGAGGAGGTTTGCGGAGTTCGCTTTGGTCGGGAGATCGCTTTACAGGTGGCGAAGGGTGAGTTGGATCCGCGAAGTCGACAAGTGAAGACCTTAGAGCCCTTGAGCTTTGCGGAACGTCGGGCCATTGATTTCCTCCTCGCAGAGAAGCGCTCCGAGCAAATGGACTATCGAGTGAAGGTGGCTCTAGAGGCTGAAGAGGCCAAGCGACAGGCAGAGGTCGAGCAAGACCATTCGCTTCGTGAAATTGAACAAGAAGAAGTGAATCAAGTCGTAGAACCAAGTCAGAAGGATGCTGCTCAAGAGAATCAGGACAGAGAACTGCGCTTGTTGCCAGGAGACTTGAGGAAGCTGATGGAAATTCGGAATGCATTGAAAAAGAACAAGGTTGAAGAATCGAAGCCGGAGCCTGTGGAAAACCACAAGTCCAAGAATCCATTTGCCAAGAAACGCGTTGCCACACCCTGCCACAGTCGCACTCCAAGTGTTCCCATTCCCATGGTCAAACGTGCCCGTGCCGTGACACCTCCATCGGTTCCACAGACTCCACTGATTCCGCCAGAAGGGCAGCGGTTGAAGGATATAGCTGCACATCCCAGAGGTGGGTCCGGAGCCAAAGAAGCAGCATATGCTGTGCTGATACAAAGGGGCTTCGCACCACAGCTGGAGGATAAAGAGAAAGCAAAGCTGAAATACTTTTTTGGTTCAAAGAAGACAGATGCCCCAAGGCAAGAAGAAAAAGTGGAAAGCAAGCTGGCAGGCTGGAAGCCACGGTCATGGGAGGAGGACGAAGACGAAGAAAGGTCCACCGTGGGCCGCAATGTGCTTTCAATTCGAAATGGCAACAACGGGCTATGGCGAAAGTCGTGGACTTGATTTTCAGAGCGGTTCTTGGTTTGCAAAGCAAACCTCAAAAATACTACAGGTATCAACCTGTAGATATCTTGGGGATGGGGATATAGCATCAATCGTGGACGCACAAACAACTCGACAAACTGAATTTGACAAGTATATTCTTAACAATCATATTCAACAATATTCAACACCCATTTTCTCGATGCTTTCTCAACACGTCTTGGTGTTTGCACAAAGGCGACATCGCTTCGCTGCCGTATCGCTTAGATTCTCAACACCTGGCCAGGGAAAGGCCTGCAAATGATGCGATGACCTCGACGATGATGGGGCAGATGATGTGTCCATGCAGTCCAGGCAAAGCTGATCAAAAGAATCAAACTCGAACAACCAGCGGTCACCCAAATCAAATTCTGCTCGCCCCCAATCACACAAACACAGCGGCAATGGCTTTCAAAGTGAAGCTCGATGCTTTGAGCAGGAACCACAATCGTTTTAACTATTTAAGGGGTGCCGGTGCTATGAATAGGGAATCGAAATAAATAGATATAGAAAATTGAAGATTGTGTATAAAATGGATAGGATTTATTTCTTTAAATCTATAAGTCTTCTATAATCGAAACGATCTTTATAGCGATATATATATATATATTTAAATATTAAATATATAAATTATTATTATTGAATATTTCATCGGATTATATAATTTATTATGAAATGATATTATTTTATTTAGGGAAATTATTGAATTAATCGAATTATTATTATTTATAGAATTATTTGGAATAATAGTAATTATTGAGAAATGATAGGATTTTGCATATAATTAATTGAGAAAATTTATAATTTTAATCTTTAGGTATTATTAACAATTACAATTTTTAACATATTAAAAACAACATTGAATTTGGTTTGATTATATTTTCTTCGATTTGATAATTTTTTTTTGATGAATACAAATTAATTTATTAATTTCTTTGTATATGAATTATATGATATTTTTCTTTAGGTCTTTATATTTCAAAATAATTTTTTAATAATTATTGTATTAACATATTGATGAATCTGCAAAGACAAATATGAATGAATTTGATTAGTATTTTTTTTAATATTGGGAATTATAATCTTTCTTTAAGACCTTGTGCATTTTGGGGGGTGGATTTTTAAATCAACCTAAGCATGGATTTAATTATGGAATATTAATATGGAATTGAATCTATTAAATATATAAAGATTAAAATATCGAATTCCATATATATTTAAAACCTGAATGACCTCTATTTTGGACCATCAACCACCTAAAATATGGCCTTTTCCTATTAAAACAGGGATTAATTGGGTTCCATATTTATATCTTTATCGACTATATCATTTTTTTAAAATCATTTCCTTTCGTTAAGATCTTGTGCAAAATGGATAGATTTTAATTAATTCAAATTTGATTGTCCTTCTGTGAAAAATATATTCTTTTGAAGAATGATTTTGATTATGAAAAATTCTATAAATTTATTATCGATCATTTCTTCGGATGCTATAAAGCCATTCCAAAACGAAATCACGAGATGGAGGTGGTTGTTTGGGCTGTTGTATTGTGCAATGATTTTTATCAGAATTAAAAGAATTTCTATATGTATTGGCCTAGGAGTAAGCGCCATCTCAGCTTCAAGCCCGGCAGCCATTTCTCGTACCTCTCCGTGCACATGTCTCCATCTCCTTTCTGGGATCACGACTGTTCTGGAATCCTTCAATGAAGATTTGCTGGCTGCCATTGATTTTGATATTTGTACAGCTGAGACACCAGGTCCCAAATCCTGGGGGTATGGTACCCCTTCCATCTACTATTCAAGATGGTCAATCCATGCCTGGCGCGAGGGTTACCACCAAGACCTCGCTTGGTGGTGAGAGTGTCATCGACCTGCCGATTCACAAGCGGCCTGACATGAAAATCCACGAGGTTTGGGCGACATCAGGCTACGGCCTAATTGTGGATCCATCCAGATGCAAGAGAATCAAGAGGAGCTTTCATCGAGCATGCAAACGAGCATACAAGTACGGATGCACCCAATATCGTGGAAAGGATTTCTGGTATTCCAACATCCCTTTCCGGATTCGACAACAGCTGGCTCACGAATCCAATATCCCAGCTATGAAGGTGGGATCCACCACCTCGATGACCCGGACAACAGACTCCTTGAATATATTTTGTTGGAACGCCTCTAACGGGCTCCTGCTGGATGAATGGGTGACTTGGCTCACTCAGACTTCGTATGATGTTGCTGTCCTGCAAGAAACTGGCTGGCGATTCAGCAATCAATGGGTCTCTGGTGACTGGTACATGCTACATTCCCATGGCCATCGAGCCACTGTTCTTTGCATGATCCGCCGACGACTGCTGCGTCCGGATCAACTTGCTTGGAGTGAATTGTGCCCAGGCCGGCTCATCCATGTTCGATTACATCTATCCCGCATCCACGATATCATTTGTGTTTATCAGCACTCATGGAGTTCATTGAAGGAACGTCAAATCCTTCTACATGATAGACTTCAGGTCTTTGAAGCCATCCGTCAATGTATTCTTCATGTTCCCAAGAGTCACATGTTGTTGCTTGCAGGTGATTGCAACACACCCCTGACCGCTGACGCACCTCATGTGCATTCACGTGACCCCAAGTATGGCATGGCTTCTCAATGTGATAAGCAGGACTTTCAAACCCTGGTTCGTGATTTGGACCTGGTTGCTGTTCATTGTCAACATCAGTGGAAACCAACCTTCCAGCACGGGGACCACTCTAGTCGAATCGACTTTATGTTCGTTCGTCGACACCAAGTCCAATGGACTAAACATCGAGCACAGGTACTGACCCAGTTCGAACGAACGACTGGCAGCAGTGCACCTGTCCATCATCCACTTGTCATGTCCTTACCAAAATGGTTTGCACCTCCCCGTCAGCAACCACCGATTAATTCGATCGACCGCCATCGACTGAGGCTTGATTGAATATCAGTCACAGACTGAGAACTGGCTCACCTTCGAAACTGAAGTCATGAACACAGTTTGCACTATCACCACTGAATCTAATTCGGTTGATCCCCTCTCCACATGCATCCAGGTTGAACAGCAAATCAGACAGCTGTGTCAGAACCACTTCCCCCGAGTGAGCCGATTTCGACCCATGTGCTCTCAGGTCAAATCTTTGGCTGCTCAAATGTGGTATGCCAGACGGCAATTACTACGTCTTCGTTCAACCTCCATGCAGGCCGTGTTTCAGGGTTGGTCTTGTGTCATTCGATTCGACAAGCTCCATAAAGTCATCAGACGTCAAAGCAGACAAAACCGCAAGCACCGCTTAGATGCCTTTCTTGCTGAAAGTGTCCCCCTGGTTCTTCAGAACAAATTGCATGACTGGTATAAGCGGATTCGTACCCTGTGCCCTAAGCACTCAGGCGGATTCAGATGTTTGATATGCATGGGGCACCACTGTCCCAAGCCCAAGAACTTGAGCGCCTGACTCAATATTTTCAGGACTTGTTCACGGACCCTCATGCACCCATCATGATCCCTCCGGCTCTGACTCGATTGCCATTCACTGAGGCAGATGTTCTACATGAACTTCAACACCTTCCAGTGACGAAAGCACTGGCCCCTGACGGTTTTCCTGCTCTGATTTGGAGACATTTCGCAAGCATTTTGACACCCGTGATGTTTTCATGTATCAGACATGCATGGTGCCAAAGCCAGAGTCTACCACCGTCACATTGGTCAGCAGGATGGCTTCACCTTCTTGCTAAACCCAACAAAACCCCAAATCAACCAGCCGCACTCCGCCCGATCTGTCTTCAACACCCGATGCATAAGGTCATGTCCAGCATTCATTGTCGATTGTTGCTTGAACAGGCCCATGGTCCTCTCTGTCAGATTCCCATGTACGCGTACATGCCTCACCGAGGAACACGTGAGTGTCTTCTGACGGTGTCCCATCACTGCAGACAGGTGAGAGAGCTTTGCACTGCTCATCGGAAAGACGATGACAAAGCAGGTCTTTGGGGAGGCCTCCAAATTTCGTTGGATATGGAAAAGGCATTTGATACTGTCAGCAGACAGTTGGTATCCAGGGCTCTCCATGCCTTTGAGGTCTCAAGTGACCTCCAATCGTTAGTACACTCGTGGTTGACCCCCCACACCTACTACATTCCCTTTAAGGAAGTTGTAGGAAAAATCCAGGCCACTGGTGGCATTCAACAAGGATCAAAGGATGCTCCGCTCTTTTGGAACCTTACGATGTATATCATACTCCACGACTTATTAGCTCAGTACGACCACGACTGGATCTTAAACCACCTGGTAGTGTATGCAGACGATTTTCACATGCGCTGGATTGTCCGATCACCTGCAGATGGACTTCGCGCTATGCACGACCTATCCTTCCTGATGAGGGTGTTTGGCGCCTATGGACTGAAGATCAATCCTCATAAGAGCTTCGCAATGATTCGACTCGTTGGGAAGGCCCTTCCTTCGTTCCAGAAAAGATGGATTAGTCGCACGGCCAATGGCCCAATGCTTCGACTGCCTGACATGGCTATCACAGTGCCGCTGGTTGCCAAAACGACCTATCTTGGAGTCATCATCTCGTATAGGGCATGGGAAGTCGATACAACTAAACGCAGACTCACTGCAGCCCAAACATGCTTTCGAATCCTGCGGAGGTGGCTCCTAGACAAGCACCATCCCATGCAGACTAGGATCAAATTGTACCGTCAGTGTGTTCTCCCCACGGTCCTTTACGGGGTGTTTGAAATGGGCCTCACACAACATGGCAGTAGCACCATCATTGGCATGATCAATAAACACCTAGGTTCGATGGCACATGCACCTGTTCATCTCACACGTATACCAACTCAAGAATTCTTCCAAAGTCTTGGCTTGTCTCCACCATGGCACATACTTCAACGACACTTTGATCGTTTGATTAATTCCCTGAGTCACCGCCGGTCTTGCCTTCGAGCATCAGCCATGTCGACCATGCCTAGTGATGCAGGAGTCCATGTCCCAGATTATCCTGAAGCCTCCATTCCATTTCCGTCATCACACACTGATCCGTGTACCCAGGTTCCGGTACTCAGATGCCATGAATGCCATCGAGCATTCAC